ATATATATAGACAGTCACAGCAGTCGCGATTATTCTCATTACTTTAATTTTTCTTGATGTACAAAACGGGATCACACTTGCAACCTCGATCTCTTTAAAATCCAACCCTCACCCACCCAGAACCCTTCGATCCCACTAAACCAAACGACAAAAGATCTTAGGATTAGTAAGTCGCTAATATTACTTTTATTGCAACTTATTTTAGTCTAATTACTTTGGACAAATTATACAAAATAATTAAATAACCCCTTTTTTCTTTCTTGCTTATATTTTTTGAAGGTGCGCGTACAATTGGAGAGACAAAGGCCTTGTTCATTTCACCGATTTTAGTTTTCAGTTTTAGGTTTCTACAGTAAAAAGTTCTCAAAAAATGTCACATCTACCTTTTTTTACTACAGTGAAAAGCTCTCAGAAAATATCACATCTCAACTCGAATTGAAAACTCAAATTTGCGAAGTGAACGATGCCAAAGTGTTCCTTGGTCTCAAGGAGGCTCTTCAACTTCACAAGGAAAGGAGAGACCAATCCATCGACTCCGAATACGCCGCCAAACCCGTCGTCGACGCCGTTGGAGCTGGACCGCAACAACTCTCTCTTCTTTGACGGCCACTACTACATAGTTCTCAACAAAAAACCAAGGGCCGTGTTTGGAATTAATCCCGTTTTTATTTTTTACATTTTTTGAGAAAAAAAATGAAATGTTTTTGAAACGGCGTTTGGCGTAATAAAGACAAAAATGGAAATGAAAACAACTTTTTAGTTTAGTTTAAAGTGAGAGAGAAATGAAAAAACGTTTTTCATTTTTTGTTTTCGTTTTCTCCTCTCTCGAGCAGAGAGAAAGAGAGAGAGACATTAATGGATTTTTTATACTAAAAACAATATGTTGATAAAATTACCAAACGCATTTTCAAAAATGATTTCTGTTTGAGATTGAAAACGTTTTTCTTTTCATACAAAAAATAAAATTATTTTGGAACGAGTTCCAAACGCACGTCTCTTGGTGTCCGACGCGGTGCTTCTAACCGATGAATTTGCAAAGAATCTCATAAAAACCTTCGAGAACTTTGAGGTTTTCATGCGTTCCTTTGCGCATTCGATGGTGAAAATGGGTTCCATTGAAGTGCTCACGGGAGATGAAGGAGAGATCAGGAAGAATTGCCGAGTCATCAACTAGCAATCTTAATATTATTAATGCTACTAACTGCTTATAATGTTACATATATATATATATATATGTTCAATGAGTATGTAATTGTCAATTTCTCTAAAATGTACCTTTCAGTCGTTTCTTGTGGTAATTGATGTCATACTGCGACGATGTGTTATTTTCAATGGTGTTAGTAAAGCGATTTCTTTTACGGAATTAATAAAGCGAGTTGACCTATAAATAATCTTTCTTAGTTTTTTGGGTTAATTTCAATTTTAGTTCACGAGAAATACTTGTCGTCTTACTTTGTCCTTTAAACTTTTAAATGTCACACTAGCTACTAGCCCCCGAGCTTTACAAATGTTACATTTTTCAGTCCTTTTGTGACAAAATCGTTAAAACACTGACATAATTAGCATGTGAGTGCACGTGGTACTTTTATGAGGGTAATTTAGTAAAATTAATGAAATATTAATTTCAATTTTCACCCCTGAAAAATACTCAGTGTCTCCAGAGACGGAGACAGTCAATGTCTAGGGGGCTTAAGCCCCTCAACTTTTTTATTTTTTTTTTAAACATGTGCATATATATAACATATTACATTAAAACTCCCATAGAAACCCCAACCCCCCACAATTTTCTTTTTTAACAAAATCTATATATCTATTGAATCAAATTACATACCAATCCCCATACAAAAAAATATGAATCTCCTTGATTTCAGTCTTTAAAAACTCATTGAAAAAACATCACTTTATACAAAAGTCCAACTAAAGCTCAATACTCTTCGTATCCAAAATAGCCCTACCATTTAAAATCTTTTATTGTACTTATTAGCCCCCTGATAAAAATTTCTGACATCATCACTGACGTCTCGCTTTGCCCCCTATGAGCTTTACAATTGTTGCATTTTCATGCACCAACTTTAAACTTTCATGCACTATAAACAACTGTTGAACTGCATAAACAAGCACTTGTGCGCTTCCATGTACTAAAAATATATAATTCATTGTCATTTTCCGAGACAATAATGAAATGGACGTATTCTGCATGTAAAAATTGGACTATTTTTGTTAGAGAGATTGTAATATGTCTCTCATATTAAAATCACACAAATTTTGGCTGTTAAGGGTGAACAGCAACAATTTGGACATAGCACGAGCACTCCAGCGCCTTAAGCAAACTACACCTATTCAATGCAGTCTGCAAAACTTGAGCGATGCTGCGCCCATTTTCTGCGTGCTGCAGCACGTCTCTTGCATGCTCTCCAGTCCAGATGTTCTGATTCAAGCGTTGCAGCGGATATTTCATCCGCCGCAGTGCCCGTTCTGAAAAAACTGTGCGTGTGTGTGTTTCACGATCTGAATTGTATCGAACCGTTGCATCCTTTAGTCATATGTTTTCACACATATCTGAATACCTATTAGCAACAAACATATATATTATAATAGATGCATTAATACATGAAGAGATACCTTTACCTTGAAGATGTATCTTTATGTGAATCGTTGTAATGATTAAAAATAGATGTGTTCATTCATGAAATGACACCTCTGTCTTTATAATTCTCCAGAAAGTTTACAGACTTCATTCTTGTTTCAGAACACAATATTATTGTTAGATATTGTGTTTAAAGGTTTATTGTATCTTAAGATAATTTATCATTAAAACTCGTTAGTAAATTTTGTGAGGTGAGTGCAAATAAAACTTTAAAAAAAAATATTCTTCAATACGCCTCAAACCCAATTTCGTTTCTGATTTTTTTTTTTTGTTTTTCCTCCATTCCTCAAATTCTCCAACAGTTTTTACTCATTGTTGAAATACGTCAAATAGCAAAATTTGTCGGAAAATTTTTTTTTTTTTTTTTTTTTTTTTTTTAGGGTATTCTGGTTCTAAGCCATGTTGTCGTTTATGAGCTTATGTCGTTTTTTAGGTTGTTTACACTTTGTGCCATTTTTATGAACAAAGTGTTCCATTTTTATTTTATCGTTTCTTATGATGATGCCGTATTTTCTTTTATTGTCGTATGTATGAGGAATTGTCGTTTTTACTATTGTCGCGTTACGACGTCGTCAGATAGCAACATTATCGTACGATGAGATTTGTTGTTTTGTACGACGTCGTCGTTTCTTAGTTCTTGTCGGTTGCTGGTGGTGGAGTGGTCATATGACTCGTATAATATATGTTTTCATGTCAACGATCTTGTGGTCACACTTTTGATGGAGTGATCATCATTTCGAGCAGTTGACTTATCATTTTTCAGAACTCATTTTCGTTTATACTGGAATGTTGTTTTGAAAGTAATTGGCCACTATGAAATTCGTTGACAATCTTTTGAATTTTACTGTCGTTTTATCCATTTTCGATACAGTAAATTTTGTCGTTTTTTAGATGTTGTCGTTTTCAGTTCTTGCGATTATGCTCAGTCTTGACACGTTTGGAAAGAATTATAATTGCTTAAGAAATTGTCGAATTTCTCAAGTTCTGTCGTTTCACATATAATATCGTTTTATGTTGATGCCCTTTTTACAATAATCGTCATTTTGCAAGAAATTGGCGAATCGTTTTATCCTTTTGCGTTTTTTTTACTGGATTGTCGTTTCTCATATGTTGTCGTTTTCCTACGTTTCTATGATCGTTTTCTGCTGTTTTTTCTCTTTTTTAATTTTCCGCGCTCCTGTTAAATTTGTATTTAATGCCTTAGTGGTATTTTTTTGTCGTTCTTCACCTTTTAATTTTGAAGGTGTTGTCGTTTTTTGCTCTCTTGTTGGTTTGGCGATCTGATGTTGTTTTTCCTTGTTTTATGTCGTTTTCTCCACTTTCCCACCTTTTGGAAGGTGTTGTCGTTTCCATAATACTGACGTTTTGCCATTCTATTATCGGTTTTTTCGGAAATTGTTCATATTATAGTAACAGTAAACACCTTACTGATACTATGGAACAAATTGAACACCGTCGCATTAGAATCTTCACTGTCACTCTACACCCAGGAAGCAAACTTCCCCATGACCTTTTTTTTTTTTGCCAATTAGTCTTAGATAACATAGGCATTATTCTTTTCACAACTCAAGTTTTTTTGTTATAATATTTTCTCTCATAAAAATTTAAATTCAACATTTTTACTGCAGTATTTTCTCTCACCCTTATCGATAACATAATTTTGGTAGTAACACGCCCCAATTGCTGATGTATTTTTGGTGAAGAAAAAAAGCTGATAGTTCTAAACTGTTGAACAATCAAACTATCAATAAAGAACATTAACAGAGAAAGAGACCAGCACTGGACCAGGACCACTGGGGAGAAAGTATCTGTGGGGATGAGATTTTGATACTCTCAAAACAAGAACAAGAAAGACATGTTTTGTTTGGTCGCAAAGTGCCCAGTTAAGGTCTAAGGAGAAAGTTGAAAAGAAACATCAGCTTTGTGTACCAGAACGATGTCCTAGCAGAAAAGGAAATGACAAGTTCTCTGAGATAATAAATCAACTAAAGAATATATAGATACACTAATGATTTGATCAGACTACAATATTGGTTATGGACCACACAATCTTCCACAGGCTCACAAAATTTTCCCATGCTGTTTATAAAAGTGACCCATATTTAATAAATGCACTGCACCATGAAAAAAAAAAAATAAGCTTTCAATAATTTGTATATCATGGAAAATTCTAGATGATAAAGAATTGGAGTGTTTCTTCTAAAAATTTGATCTGACCAAAATCACGTCAAAGTAAAAAAGTAAGTCAAATTGACAGAACCAAAGATGTGAAAGTTCATAACAATTGCCTGTCGGCCCAAACCAAATAATTACGTGCACATAAAAAGTCTCCCAAGAAAAAAAAAGGGACCAATTTTCTCAAGTGATTAGGATCGGCTAACACATTGGTACTTTTTCTCCTTTTTCTCCATATAAGAGGGAAGAATTATCCCCTGTATTACAATATATATATAAGATTATGTTTACATAAACCCAATAGAGGTTACTTGGGGATTTTTAACCCCATGAATTTGAGGAAAAATAGCCAGGGAAAAAGGCTTTGAGGCACACATAAATATTGTTACAGTAGTTTGAATCAAAATACAATAATAGTAGACGAAACAAGATGAGTATGATGACCAACAAGTATGTATTTGATTGGGAAATGCAATGAAAATTCTCCTTCCATGTTACAAGATGGGATCATTGAGGAAGAACTGGAGGGGCAATTGTGCGAGTATTGTATGATTTGCAGTGCCTGCATTTCTGACCAATAATATGGAAGTAAACTTCGGTAGTATCGTTGCAATCGTTGCACAGGATCCAAACCTGCAAGTTAGTCAAGTCTTGCCTATTAGAACATGAACTACAATAGAGATTTCAGATTGACCATGATCCATAATCCCCATAAACAAATTGAGAGTAACAGATTTTGTTAGAACTCTTGTACATATTTAGGACCCGTTTAGTTCGCTGTACATATTTAGGACCCGTTTAGTTTGCTGTACATATTTAGGACCCGTTTAGTTCGCTAATTCAAATTTTTAATTCGAGTTGAGATGTGACTTTATGTGAGAGCTTTTTACTGTAGCAAAAAAGTTAGATGTGACTGTTTCTGAGAGCTTTTTACTGTAACAAAACTCGAATCGGTAAAATGAACGGGGCCTTAATATCCCCTGTTTTGTCAAAAGAGAAAATGAGGCGTATCCTAATATTTAACAGTAGATGACCACATCTAGACTAATGAATGCAGGAGCAATCTTTTAATGAGGAAAAAAAAGGACAATTCTGTTATTGGGGTAGGACGCAATTTTAACAGTTAAATCTTCATCAAGGGTTTCATTAAATTTTTATATTTTTTTTCTAATCCTTTATGAATCTAAAGATGATTTGATGGTTAAAAGTTGTTTCTCAAAACAAATGAAGGATATAAGCTGTGACCTTTCTGGAATGATAATCCTCAGGCATAACGGTCTGTTCGATCTGATGATGCAACACAAGAAATTAGCATCAGATATTGGCCGTATATATCAACTGGCATTTATCATGGTTTCTTTGCTAAGATGTTGAATTAACCATAGGTTGTTAAAGTAGTTTGAGCTCTAGTTCAACAAGTACCTCCTCGTCTATTCTCTTCCAAGTTTTGGACATGTCGATCACCGACTTGGAGCATATGGGGCAACAGTATCTGGGTGATTCAACAAATTTGTGTTTGAGAAAACCAAGCAATTAAAACTAATATGATCAAAATTCATGATTACTTACTTATCACGTTTTATCATCTCATTGTAGCATTCACAGTGCATTGTATGCCCACATTTCATTACGGTTGTATCTTTCAAGGAGTCGAAAAGGTACTGCAAGTAAACAATTTGGTAGTTTTAGGACAAATCCATAGAGATATTTCCTTCATGAAAAGAGGACTGTGAAGAAGAATTTTATGCAGAAAAGAAACCTCATAACAAATTGGGCAGTGATGCCTCATGGAGTTCTCCACACACAAGTGATTGTCACGTAGAACAATTGAATAGCAAGATCCTGAAAACTTATAAACCAGTTCAGTAAATGAGAAATCGTATTAATTGACAATGGATTTACGGATTCCATAATTCAAGGGCATTTGGAAAGAATTGAAACCAGGCAAAATGTTCAGAATTGGAAGCTTTATTTCCTACTAAACAAGAGCAATAAAAAGGAGAAGAAAACACACACACAAGATTTACTGTAGTTCACCCTCAATATGAAAGCTGCTTGTACCTTTAGCCACTGCAGAATTTCATTATAATGAAGAAATAATGAAGAAGAAGATTATAGGAGAATCATACGCCTCATGCCTCTCAAACTATAAGTAATATTAAGACAACCACATACTAACTTTGTGTCGCGGTAATAATTAGACTCCACACACTCAACAGGGCAAAACACATACAGAGTGCCAAGCTAACAAGGAGCAGGATGTAAAGAAAAGGATGGAAAGATGTTTTAAGTCAAAACTCAATAGCACAAATCCAGCATGTTGACACCCTTTCTTGTTTAAGTTCAGAAAATAATGTAAGTGTACAGAAGTAAAAAAGTGAAGAAATTAAAATAAGAACCAAAGAACTAGTAGAATCTCAGTAATAGTATAGCCATAACAAACTAAATGCATACCACACTTCTGGCAGTGGAAGAAATTCTCGCGACCACCTACTCTGTTTCCACAATTGCCACAACAACACAGAAGTCATTCGATTTGCAACAAAACCAATCGTAAATAAACAGGGGAAAATTTTTGAAACTTGACTTACTAACCTGCAGATTCCACAATCATCACAATGAAATTGCCCCTTCTCAATCTGCACAAAATTCAAACACAACTTAGCATGGACAAATAATAATTATTATTATTATCATTATATAAATATATATATATATATAGATCAAACAAGACTAAAGCAACAAACTTCAACTAATTATATGAACTCCAATCCATTCGGAAGCTAAATTTGAGTTTGTTGGATTACATCATCATCAAAGAATTTGCATATGTCACAGAAATATTCCCCCATGTTGACGCCACAGTTGGTACAAACTTTAGCAACCTGAAACCAAGATAAAAATATTCAACAACAACAACAAATTCAAACCAAAAGAAGGAAAACCAAGCTTTTTTTTTTTTGTGAAACAATAACGAAGGAAAATGAATACATACCGGTTGTTCTGTATCACAAACTGAACAAACAACCTGAAAAGCCATTATTAGAGTAAAAAGACTCCAAGTTATTCATTCAGACAAATTCACAAACAATACAAGTGAAAATGAATGTGATGCGGATGAGAGAGAAGTGAAACCATACTTGCTTAACATCGTACCGAACCAGCTCATGCCGGTCAAAGGGGTTCCTCAAAATGCTCTAACGGATCAAATACAGAGAAATTAGCACAACCCCAGATCATCAAAAATGAAAATATGTATCTGTATGTATATATACACACATATATATGATAAATACCGTGGCCTCATTATGACAATGGCGACATGGATAGATCTCGTTGCAACATGGAGCTCTAATCTGGCATCTCCTTCTGTAATGTTGGCATCTAGCAAAACAAACAAACAAAAAAAAACCCAGAAAAGAAAAAAAATAAGATTTCATTTTTTCTGCACAAACCATATCAATTCAAGGAAAACAAAAAAGATTGGTGTTTTACCCGTAGCCCATCTTCCCAAAATCAAGACGTTCATTGGCTAAGCCTTCCATGAGAGAGAGAGAGAGAGAGATTTGTAGTAGAGGATGGAAAAGGAAATAGTTTCCTGATTTGGGAAGGATGGGGAATGGGGTGATAGACGTGTTTCTTCTGTCTCAATCCCCCAAAGAGAGAGAGAGAAATCATGGACAAGAGATCGCATCTTTGTATCACATGGAATATAAAAACAGTAACTTTTTTCTAATGGCATTATAATATTGCATCATCATGCATACCCACTTGGCCATGTTAGAGAGAGAGAGAGAGAGAGAGAGAGAGAGAGAGAGAGAGAGGATAAGGTGTGGCAGTGGGGGCTGGGTGGACTTTGAGTGAAAGCGACAAGCGCCGTTATAGTAACGAATTGGATTTCAGAGAACATTACCAAAGCCTACCATCACAAGCAATCAATCAATCCTTTTTAACCTTTATTAGAATCCTCCAATTTTCCCATAGAGTTGAGATGATTGGAAGAAAACACCATCAAACTCAACAACAATCCTTTTCTCTTTTTTTTTTTTGAGGAAAAAGAATGGGAAAACCAAGGAAAATTCCTTTCGGAATAGTGGGCTCATTCTTGTTTCTACTATACGGTAACAAGCATTATACAAAATTATGAACTTGAAATGAGTTGGAGTATAATCCAAAGTTTTTGAAAAAAAAAAAATGTAATACAAATGTCATACTTATAAAAGTTTTGTGGGAACAGGTATACCCAGGGTGGCTCAACTATTATTTGTGGTCAATCGGTCTATAAATTATGTTATTTATTTACTGTAAGAGAAATTCGGATTTGAAAGGATGAAAAGAATATAGAAAGTAAGAAAAGGGTTTGAGGCGTATAAGAATACTTTCCTTTAAGGTTTTATTTGCCTTCACTTTTCAAAATTTATTAATGAGTTTTAATGGCAAATTACCCCCAAGATACAACAAACCCTTGAACACAATATCTAGCAAAAATATTGAGTTCCAGAACAACAATAATTTGTATTTTCTGAATGCATTAATAAAAGACAGGGATGCATCAATCCTCTTTAAACGTTACAACCTTTCACATAAAGATACCTTTTTCAATTTGAAGGTTATCATTTATATGTTGATGCACTTATAACAATAGTCATTTCTATTGTTAATAAGTACTCAGATATGTGAGAAAATATATCACAAATGGATGCAATGGTTCAAGACCTTTTCAGATCACTAAAACATACGAAAACACGTTTTCCGGTAGCAATTTGCGCTGCAGCGGATGACATTCACGCTGCAGCGCTCAGGCTTCGCAAAACATACTCGAGAGGTCTGTTTTGTGCAGGCTGCAACGCCCAAGAGGCGCACTGCAGCGCTCGGGCATTACAAAACAGACCCAAGAGGTCTGTTTTGTGCGTGCTACAGCGCCCTAGAGGCGCGTTGCAGCGCGCGCTCCTGTGCACGCCTGTTCTTCCCGAATGTGTTTTAGGTCAATTTTTGTGATATCGAAATTGAGAGATATATTACAATCTCTCTAACATTTACGTCGTTTGTGGTAAGAGATGTATAAGAATATTGCATGTTTTTTTAACATGAAACTGCAAGAATAAAAAATATAATGAAAATTTTATGAATTATAATTATTAAGCAAATAGACCCTGTTTCTAAGAAAAATAAAATCATATGCAATTTTTCTTCTTCTTAATTATTATCAACGAGTGTCTTAAATTTGTGCACTTTTTAAACCCATGGATTTATTTGATTCCAAACACGACTAGAAATGCATACTTATAGTAAAAACTAACCAGTGGTATTGGTTACAATATAAACACAAAGTTTAGGAGTGTTTGAATGGTAAGAAACCAAGGAAGTAGGCATGGTGGTGGTTGCTCAGAACGGGAGTTTATAAATGGGGCCAACTACTCTTAACAGAAATTAGTTAAACACTGACTATATATCTTCCACGCCTTAAACTTAGACGCAATAATAATAATTGAGAAATGTTAGAGTCCTTTTTTTTTGTCACTTTTTTGTTATTTTTTGCCATTTTTTGTTATTTTTTGCGTATAAACAGGTAAAATTCATTATTTCATTTTTTATTTAAATAATAATATATCATGTTATAAAATTCACATGTCAAATAATAAATATAATAAATTATAAAAAAAGTGACGCTAACGTTTCTTTCTCAGTTCTCATCTTCCTCTACCTTGATCAATTCCACTTTTGTATTTTTCTTGTTGGGTTTTCCAAAAAGCAATGGATGAAATTGACACATACATTCTTTGGTCTGAAAAAATCAGTAACTAGAATGCCCAGTTTTGGTCTGAAAAAATCAGTAACTAGAATGCCCCAGTTGATACAAAATATGACATCATTGGATGAGAAGTATACAAAGCACAGTCCCTTGTTTTCAAAGTCCTCGAGTTCTGTGCAATGAATATTAACTTATCGTATATATTTTAGGCCCTCGTGAGATGTACATTATTTTATTCCAAATGTGACAATTAACTAGTTAAAATATGTGTAATAAGAAAATGATATTTTAATTAGTTATGCATATTTTATTATATTTACTAAATAGATTTGATAAACAAGTTGGTATTATTAAGGGTGGCAATTTAGGTCATCACATGAAATACGACTCGAAACCCACACAAAGTTAGTGAGTTTGAATTTACTATAAATATATTTGAGTCATAATCAAGTTGACACGATTAACACGATTAATAAACGGGTTGGCTTAAAGTTGACCTCTTAACACAAAGTGGCACGAATTGACACGATCATCTATATGTATAATTTATAATCTAATGATATGCGATATAACATGAAAGTTTATATGCATATTAAATACAAATATTATGAATTTTAATATTTGTATGTAAAATTCATTTATTTTTCTTAAAATGAACGATAAATTGATCAATAAACATGTTATGATCGTGCTAACTAACTCATTATTATATCAGTTATTTATTCAATATATTAATTTAAATGGGTTATGTAGGTTGACACGATTAATAAATAGATAGTGTTTGAATTGATATTTTTGACACATTTAATAAACGAATCATGTCTAAATTAATATTTTCTGACACGATTAATAAAAAGGTTGACACGAATACGGCCCAATAATACTACGAATTGACACCCCTAGGTATTACACTTCAAGAATCTAAGAATTGTAATAAAGTCAGCATGTGACCTTTCTTTTAACACGTTCATGCATGTCTCTAGGGATATTTATATGTCACTGAATTTAAGACAGATCTCACCTTAAATGCCGTTATTAATTTGTAGACCACGTTCATAAAATAATTCCTTCCTAAATTGCCAATATATATATATATATATATATATATTGAGTAGCTAAATTGCCTAAATTTACAATTAGCTAAAAATAAACAATTGCTCAACTCAATCCTCAAAACCACACAACAATAAACAAAAACGATTCCTTTTATTAGCTATATAGAACAACAAAACAACAATATCCATGGCAAAACCACATCTCCAACACAAAGATTACAACAATATCAAAAACTATATATAGAGAGAGAGAGAAGAAATTAACTAGATAATTATAAAAGGAGAGGAAAAAAAAAAACTTAATTAAAGTCTTTTCATCATAATCTTCATTGTCAAAATGGGTTGCAACGAATCGAAGCACGACACGGTGGCTACCGGAAACACCATCCTCCGGCGAAAGCAATCCAAGGACATCGAGACCGTTAAAGAAAATCCGACGGCTGAGATTCAAAGCGCGGTTGATGATCGTGACCATCACCATGAAAAGGACGTGGTAGGCCGCCACGAAAATGACGTCGCTTCGACGGTAATAGAGGAGAGAAATCTCGATCAGAAAAAGGAATCAGAAAAGGAAGATCAAGACTTGGTTGAAGGAGATCATGATGATCATGATCAGAGGCTGATATGTCGAGACTCACCGAATCATTTCTTCTCGTCGAGAAAGGACGAGGAAATCATATTAGGGAATGGTATTGATGGGATTATTTCCGAAGGACGGTCCGGGAAATCCGAGTACAATACTCCTCGCCATAAGGATATTGATGATGATCATGATGATCATGTGAAATTAGCTGATGATCAGAATAATGTTACCGTTAATCATGATCATGTGGAGGCAGATATAGAGAAAGATCAGAGGAAGGAATTGGCTGATCATTATGATAAAGATCAATCAAAAGCAGCAGAAGAAAACGGTTTGTGATCATGATCATATACATACGTATCTTTGTATATTTCTTGGACATGCATGTACATGACGTTGTAAACATGAAAAAAAAAAATATATATATATATATGGTCCGACCTTATATATATACATATAATCCCCACTTAAATTTCCAATCATGCATGTGACGTGTATATTTTCTTTTGGTTTTGATATTATTATATAGTGGATTCATTAATACAATATGTATGTATTCTGATATATGTTCAAGTATTAGATTTCATATTGTTGAGGTGGTATAAGAATCAAATAGTGCGTATATATATACACAGTGGCGGAGCCACTTGAAGATGAGCAGGGGTGGCTCCCACTTAAATTTTTTTGAAAAAAATGACCATTAAAAATTTTACACTTAAGTTCCGCTGAAATAATATATATCATCACTAAAATAAATATATTTTCTTATATGCCCCCACTAAGATAATTTGTTAAAAAAAAATTTAATGTACGCGTTCACTGAAGTAAAAGGCTGGCTCCGCCACTCTATATACGTATATATGTAATATACAAATTAAATATATATGTTATTCACAGTGTATCATATTTTGTGGTATGATTTTGATGTGACATGACGTTTCAAAACATATACTACTCACAGATTCTCTAGTAATGTGGAAGCGGAGTTGATATTGAGTTGTATATGTCTAAATGCTGGTGCAGGAGAGCCTGGAGATTCGGAGGAGGATTCAGTACCAAAGGAAGACGAAGAGCAAATAACCACGGCTGAAACAGAAGCTTCTGTCCCGGCCGCTGAAGAAGAGAAGACTGCTAATGCAGAAGAGGTGTGATTTTGAAGTTTCACGAGCCTTTCTTTGTACACTGTTCTATTAGTAATTTACAGAGGGTTCTTATTTCTGCAGAAACAAGATGTTGTTGATTCACCAAATGAGGAGTTGAAGACATAATGAAGACGGAACACTACACATATATTAAGAGTTAAGACTTGAGTGAGAAAGGAAGATTAAAGAGATTGTTGTGTATTTGTAGTGTACCCTTAATGTTGTTTGTTTATCTGGTTGTAAATGTACTAGAGCAGTGTTTCTGCTAAAAGGGCTTGTTCAAGTAAAAATGATGCATCTAATAATATTGCTGCAAATAAATAACTAAAAAGGGCTCATTTGAAAGGTATATTCAAACCATAATTTTTAATTTTGACGTTTGAAATTTAATTTTTTTGTTAGAAGAAAACACTGCATCAGAATCAATTATTTGAGTTTGAGATCAAACGGGCCTCCTAAAGTGATGTCTATCTATTGTTCATTGTATACAACATTTATGGCTTAAAACATAGCCAACCCGACCACTTACTTTGTCCATTTGCTCATTATTCCAAATCTATTATTTTTCAAAGGGCATACTAAAAAACTAAAGCACTTGAAGAGCAAGCATTTGTTGTTTTCAACCACAAAACTACGAGTTTTGAAGTTCACGTGACACCTTGTGAATTCCACGTGACAATGTTGGCTCGGAAATATGAGTTCTTACAAATTCAACACCAATTGGAACATTCAATATTTTTCAGACCAAACCTTCCAATTTGTGCAAATTGAATCGATTAACTTATAAAGAGTTAATAGTTCTGAGCTTTCTTTTACACATTTGTGGCCGATTCAACATAAATTGAAGCTTTGGATTGATATTTCCAATATGCATATATTAAAGTTAGAAAGGGACTCTTGTAATGCATTTACTTCATCAGACATTTCAGAAAAAGAGAAGAGAGCCAGCAGTAATGAGCAATGACTCAATTGTATTACTTGTAATAGATTATCAAATTCACAACAATTATTTACAGTTTACACTTGTGAACAAAGAACCAAATCTAATGAATGATATAGAAGTCACCATTCGGACAGACACAAAGTCGGGTTACAATGATATACATATACTACACAGGTGATTATATACACAAAACTCCCTCAAGCCCTATTCCATTACAAGACACTCACAGGCCATAGGGTGAGAAAATTTGTCCACGCCATTAAGCCCACGACTGATGGACCTCTGACTAATGCCAGCTAGATGACTGAGCGGTTAAACATTAATGGTGGTTGCCCCCAGCATCCGACTGTGTTTTCAATCTGATAATAGGGGTTGCAGGATCTCTGGAGAAGACAAAATTTCCACCATCATCTGCTTGGCCATATTCTAGCAAAGGACGCTCCATCACAATTCTACAGGATCGCCACTCCTTGCACATTAATTCGACACCGAAATACACCAAATGGTCCACTATGCTGTTTCCAGTTACCGACCTGCATAAATTTCCAAGATATTAGAGCATCTTTTCAGATGAGGTTGTCCTTATAAACTTCCAGCTCTAACATTTCCTCTAGCAGTTCCAAATGTTTCCAAACATTAATAAGTGAAGAAAGTGAAATATGGTATAGATGAAAACGTGTGAATCCCAATTGAACACCACTGCTCGCATAGTCACATAAATGAAATTGCAAATTTGCACTAATGAAATGATGACTCTCCAAATAAGTACAATATTCATAATTAAAAGAAAAAACTTACCTGCTACAGGTTGGGTCTTCCCCTGTTTTATCACATATTTTCTCGACATCATAACTAAGAAATTCCAAACCAACGCTGTAGAGCCACACCTAAAAGAAATAAAAGGCAAAAAAAAAATAAATATATATATATATATATATATATCAGCAAACAAAAGAAAACTCTCACTATCCTAGAAAAGAAATGGTGTCCACTTTGTGACGGTAAATTCATGTTCATAGTTTCAACATGGGTGACATACAATTACTAAAGATATTTCCAGAAATGTTTGCATAGAAGTGTGCTGGCTCTGTTTGCTAAAGAATGACTAAAATCTGAAAATTGTGGCTAACAAGTGCAAATAATAAACCAACTAGCCAACATGCTCTACTGAGTACATGAATAATACACTTGTTTAGACAAACCATTACCTCAGTTGGAAAATGGTGATATGTTTTTTGGGGGAAAAAATAATAATATGGAGGCAAATGAGGCACAATATCATGTCCATGTGTGACTCGTATTGTGTTCCGTAGAAGTCTGTGGTAGTATGTTGCAAAGACTGCATTACCAATGCGAGGTTGTCCAAATGTTATAACCTGAACATTCTGGGCATTGCCGTTGACCTGATAACAAACATTCTCTCATTACAATTGCTCATTTAAATAAAATGGACACCCAGAATTTAATTACAATAAAAAGTAACAGTGAGACAACAGAAATGTTGCAAAAATAACGGACACAAACAGAAAAGGAAAAACTAAGTTCCTTTGTCACTTGTAGTGCTAGAAGAAAGAACGAAACAATTCATGCAGGCCATAAGAAAGACACAATAAAGCTTTGATAGTTGTAGGAAAAGATAATTTATCATACTACTAGATCAAGTCCACAAAAGGCAGCAATTGCCCCTCCCATCGAATGCCCTGTCACTATGATGTTAATATCTCCATAATATTCCTTGGCCCTTTTAACAGCATTTAGGATTCCTGAGCGAATGGTTGTGTTGTGGTAAGCATAATAAAACCCATGGTGCACCTAACAATGAGAACATGAATGAATACAATTAATATCCAGGAAAACTAAAGAAAAAAGAGAAACTTTTTCTAAAACACGTACCATTGCATCATCCATGCCGGGGTAGTTTATATCAAGCTGTTTCCAATATAAGTCTTCAATCCAATTCTGTAAGCTGCATGATGCAGTCATCCCATAAATCCAAGAAATCAAGGGATTATATATAAGGAGAATTATCTAAGAGACCGAAATCAATTGCATTATTAACTGGATTTTTTTAGGGGAGTTAACTGGATTTTGATCTATATACTTTTAACCCAAATCTTGTTGGGAAAACAAATTGACCAGATGTTAATAAGCACAAATACAAAAAAAAGGTTGAGAGCCTCCACAATATTCAAAAAATAATAAGAAGTCCACCAGTGCAAGAATCCAAAATTTATTATCTACCATCCTTGATATTCTATCTAACCCACATTTTCTGATGGGAAAAAAGGAAAATCCACCTTTAACCAGCCAACTAGTGCAATTGATCGCTAAGCCTCTCCTCAAGCAGTAAATTAGTCCAAACTCCAAAAACCTAGCTCAGAGAAATGATGTTCCTACTTGAACAATTACAACATTGTACCTGTGCTCTTGAGTTCCTCTAAATGCAATTATAATGGCGTACGGATCTTTTGCCACTCCAACAAATGCCTGAAGAAGATAGTCGTAATTATATCAGAACAGATAGTGTAATATGGTATGCATATAATCAGAAAACTGCTAGTAAAAAGAACTAAAATGTTTCATTCTTTGATAATGCACCTGTAAGCAGCTTTGGACGTCAACAACCAGCTCAATCATTTGAAATCCCTGTTCCCAAATAAGACGTGTCAAGAGGCCTCTTCTAATAGAGACTAGAATACGTAATACCAGGCTTAATCTATCAATTCCTTAACGCAGAGCACAAAGTAATGATATAGTCCTAGTACCTCAGTTACCCCATCACATTTTGAGCAAGTCCAAGTAAAAAGTTCTGTCAGATCAGATACGTACACCTGTAAGAGCAAAAGCATTTTCTCAGTCTTCAAACTGGACTAAATTAATGACAGTTCTAAAATGTACTAAAATCTTGTTATCTAAATATCAAGCAGAACAAGTTTTTGGCTTAATCAGAACATAATTTATAAATTTGTGTAATGTCTTGCAATAAATACCAATAGACTTGAACTTGACCATTCTAAACTAACAGAAAGGAAATATAAGTGAAGCAAATCCGAATAAGATATATGCGTTATGTTAACTATTAAAGTAGAAACACTTGTAAAAGGGTCCCCAAATCGCTGCCTTTATCTATGCCAAAAGTACGATAAGTATACTATATGATGTAAAGTTGAATGAATGGAGAATACAATTGGGCACTAATATGGAAGCCAAATGTCCCTTAATAGGTCCAAACCCAGTTATTAAGAAAACAAAACAAAAACAAGGAAAAAAAAAAAACTTACTGCAGAAGCATAATGCACTACTATATTGGTAAGTGTATGATTGTAGATAGAAGCATGCTTTTTATGCTTGAATTTGAACTTCAGTTCTGCGATAAACAAGCAAAATTATCTGTTACAAACTTATACCCAAAAATAATAATAATAATAACTTTTCTTAAACAAAGCCAAAATGAATCAAAATCACCAATCACCTTAAGCCATTGTGCAGAAATTCAAGAGCTTCACATATAACTTTAGAGAAATAAAAACATTTATGCAGAAATTTACCTCTTCCATCGGAACAAAGAACCAGGCATGTAATAATCGCCAATGTGAGCCATCTATTTCTTTCCATTCTCCGCACCAAACTTCCAGTCCCGAATATATATATATATATATATATAGTAACAATAAAAATTCTCCAAAGAAAAAACTGTTTTCGCAGATTTATGCAGAGAAATTAGAAAGATAAAACAATTCTGGAAACGAATTGAGCAAGATAGGACGAAATTCACAGGAGTTTATGACATTACGAAACCAGGATTATTCAGATTGATCGGCGAATAAGAAATGGAACAGAATTCTTCTTCTTCTTCTTCACGGAAAACCCTCGGTCTGATCGCGAAATCTTGTTGTGAAGACTGTCTTGACCAGATAGCTGATTCGAAGGAGATTAACCAAAAAATGAAAATAGCAATTAAATAGGAAGATAAAATAAAAATGAAGAGTTTTGTACTTCTTTATTTCCCATTTTACCCTTGCATTTGATGCCATTTTACCGTATTACTTTCCTATAAGGCGAGATTCGTGGTCGGTTGGAGTGGGTATTCGTGGAAATGAGGTTATTATTTGTCACTTTTGTCGACGTGGCGGTGTGTGGTATTTGGTTTTTTTGAATTTTAGAAATGGAAATATTGGGTCGGGTGGGTCCGCTTCGGAGCTGCCTTTCACTTTCCGCCGTGATTTCGAATTCGATTACCTTTTTTTTTTTAATTATTTTGTTACCTTATTGGTGTAATGTATTTTTGCCTTCCGTAACTCTGTTTCCTTAGAAAATTATTATTAAAAAGGGAAAATAATTTAAAATTCAAAATCAAACGTGTCGTAGTGATCTTTTTCTGTTTGTTGGAATTTAATCAACGGAATAATAAGAGCATATACCGTAGAGACAGTTGTACAGAAAGCAAGTAGTGCTGCATATATATATATATATATATATATACACACACACATTTATATTAAGAAAAAGTTTTGTTTATAATGAGACATATGGTCTTTTGGTTCGCCAGATTAACTTGTGGCGATTTGAGCTGTTATAGTGATTTTTAGAGTTCTAGTTATTCATAGTTGAAATTTATATTTAGAAAACTATAAAAAAGAATTTTTAAAAAATTTACAGTTAATATTAGAAGAAGTTCAAATGCAGCTTTAATTTTTAGATTGTGCAGCAATCTCCTCATAGTACAATTAATAAAACTTTCTATTACACTATTTTTAAACTATCAACACTAGTATAATTACAGTTACTAAATACTCAAATACTTTTTGTAACAGCTGTTTTTTTTCAGCACAACTAACAACACTTTTTTTAAAATCTACAACACTACCAAACAGGCCCTATGTGTTTGAATACGTGTTGAACTTGAACACATGCATTTATGGGGAAAAAAGTGTATGTTTCTGATTGAGTAAAGTTAAGAGGGGGTTAAATTTTGAAATGACCAGTACCGAACAACCTGCAAACCCAACCCACCCCAGCCAAACCCAACCCGAAAAGGTAATTTATAGCATTATTTTTTATTTTTCGGCCCACTAAATGTCTAGCCTGAGGTATTTGGGGTGGTTTGTGGGTTGGGCCTATAATAACCTGCATACCCCAACCCAACCCGCACAAACATGTCTGATAAGGAACCTATGAGTGTGAAATGATAAGGAGCCTATGAGTATGAAATGATAATGATGGTTGTTGTTGCAGTGTTTACTTTGGATGAATTTGAATTAAGCCTCTAATTTATATTTGTTTTATGTTTGATGTTGGATGGACTACTTTGCTTCATGTTTGATGTTGGATTAACTTTTGAATTGCTATCTATTTGATGATGGACTAATCAGTATTATTTCTATTTGATGATGAACTTTGAATGTTGAAGTTATGTTTGATTATCAGTATTATTTCTATTTGATGATGAACTTTGAATTTTTGAGTTATTATTTTTATTTGATGATGAACTTTGAATGTTGGATTGAAGTTTTATTTTTTGAATGATGAACCCAACCCACCCCGTCCCGCCCCAACCCAACCCAAATATCATTGGGTTGTGAAATTTTTCTAACATCGTTAGGGCCAAATATGTGCAACCCACACCCTTTAGGGCAGAGTAAGAAAAAGTCCTACTCCGCACTAACTCAACCTATGTACAACCCTAATGACCAGTTTGAGTTGGTTAAAATCAATTGAACCACAAATAAAATTATCGAAAATAACTTACAAAGCACCCAATTTGTTGGGCTCATGGGTTCATATTGGCTGAACTGATTAGGACTGTTCATGGGTTGGGTTTGTGCGGGGTAGGATTTTTTCTTCCCTCGTCCCAAAGAGTATGGGTTGCACATATTTGGCTCCAACGATGTTAGAAAATTTTCACAACACAATGATGTTTGGGTTGGGTTGGGTGGTCAGTTTCAACATTCAAAGAATCAAAGAGTCAAAGTTTAATCCAAAATTCAAAGTTCATCATCAAATAGAAATAATAACTCCAACATTGAAACATATAGAAATTCAAAGTTCAATCCAATATCAAACATGAAGTAAAGTAGTCCATCAAACATTAAATATAAAGCAAACATAAATTAGTCTACACGCATAAATTAGTCTTAACATAAAGCAAACATAGAGGTTTAATTCAAACATGAAGAAACTAGAGAGTAGAAATGAGTTGTCTGCCTAGAGCTAGATATTAGAAGAGGCAAGTTAGAGTGCGGGTTGGGTTGGGGTGTGCGGGCTATTATAGGCCTAACCCACACCCCGCCCTAAAACTTCAGGCCAGACATTGAATGGGCAACAAAAAAAATTTAATACTAGAAATTACATTTTTCAGATTGGGTTGGGGGTAGGTTAGACATGCGGGTTTATAAACAGCCCTAAAATTGATGTACCAAATGTTGTCCCTAGTAAGGCTACCCAATAGGGGGGTGAATTGGGTTTTAAATATTTTTTGAGAATTTATACAATTATTCAAGATTAAAAACAAATATAGACAATTAATTTAACACGGTGAGTTTATCAAACACTTGGTGTGCAGAAAAATATGTGAGTTAATGCAATAGCACAACCACTTGATATGCACAAGATGAACCAATCTAATATCATATGACGAGTTCAATAAGCTTATCACCAAGAGTTTAAATCAATCAATGTCAACTATCAAATTTAAAGTGCAGAAATTATAGAGATAGGGTTAAGAGAGATGCAAACGAGATTTATAGTGGTTCGATAAATAAATTTACCTACATCCACTGTTGCCGAGATATTTCGCCTCTCGACGTCTTCCACTATACGATCGTCTATCTGGCACGATCACTCATCTTACAAGATGGCAGATCTTTTTATTCAAGGTTTCACCTAACCTCTTACACAATGTCGATTTTCTACGGAGATCAACCAACCAACAAACCCAATACGAAAGTAATGATTATGAATAGTGAATCACTCAGTCATACACTCCTAACAATGGTTTTACACAATTGAAATGGCTATGAGATGATGAAATCACACTATCAAAATATAATCTAAGATAGGCTCAAGTATGTGTGAGAGAGTGAAGTAAGGATCTTTAGAAGATGATGATTATGATGGCACTTTAGAGAAATATTTTTGGATTCTTAAGAGATTTAGGAGCTTTGAACAATTTCTTTATTTTCAGGAAAATCCGTTGGAGAGAAAAATGACTTTTCTCTATTTAACCTCACTTTCCAATGGTCTTATTTATGATCGTTTACCTAGTACCGATCGACCGGAGCGGTTGACCAGTTGAGTCAAATTTGAAATCTCGGTGTTTAACGGTCTTATTGACTGGCTATTGAACAGGATCGGTTGACCGGTTGAGGCAGCACCGGTCAACCGGTGCATTTAGCCTTCTCTGTCACCGGACGACATAGGTCGACCGGTTGACACTTAAATCGCCTCAAACCTTCACAAAATTGTATTTTTAGGCCAAATGTCATTATGCACTTAGTTTAGTCTCATTTTAAAAGAGTAATGTGAGTGTGTGCATGAGCCTAAATAATAATTAATCAAGATAGTATGAAATCAAAATCAAATACAAGACTAAGGAGATATAAAAACCTATTAGTACTTGTCTTGCTTGATTTTGTTTGCTTGCTCTTGATCTTTAATTTTTCAACACTTCAAGCTTTGAATTTCTTCTTCAATTTGCATTTCTCAACCTTGAATGTATGCATTGTATTCCACACTATGCTTCTTGAGTTGATTTGTAATATCAATTATGCTAACAACACAACTCAAAGTAGAATAATTAGTAACATAATACATTGTGTTTGTTATCATCAAAACATGAGAATATTCAACCTTAGGCCAACACCAAACACCCCATAAAACATGGGTAGAAGCTTCGTAAATCTTAGGGGTTCCAATCTTATGCTACATTGAAGGGGCTAAATCGAATTACGCTACAATGAAAGCTTTTTTTTTTCTTTTCATTTTTTATGTTTAAAACCATAGCATAAACTTAATTTTTTAAAATTTCACCATTCTTCTTGTAATAAATCGCCTATGGGTGTTAATTTGTATGTAACAACTCGTGTTTGTTTTAACTCATTTGTTAATTGTGTTAGAATAGTATCGATGAGAACACAATTTGTTTGTAAATACGTCAGAAAATGTCAACTTAAACTTAAGATGTTTATTATAGAGGTCGATATAATTAATCCGCATGAAATTAGTACTTTGGATGTATAACTAATACAATTATGAGCCATTTGACACAATCATAACATGTTATATATGATTGTGACAAGTTTAATTCAATATCAATTGAAATTTAATCACTAAATATATCATTCATATTTTTTATATTCAAATAATCATGTAAAAGTAACATATAAAGTCAAACACATTAATTCGAATTTAGCTAAGTCAACAAAAAATGACATATTTATTAATCATATACATACAATCAACATGATTTACAATCTAAACCTAACCTATTTATAATAAAACTCAAACTCATTAATTCCACGTAGTTTTGGAAATTGTGTCATCTATCATAACACAAATTTCCACCCTTAAAATCACATGTTTTATTATTATTATTATTAAAGAATTTGGAGGTGAGGAATAGTGGAATCGAGAGTGGAATTATCACTATCCTATGCTAGCAACCACAAAAATCACACGTTTTACAAAGTGACAAAGTTTACAAAAGAAATTGATCTCATGTGGATAGGTGAATTAGAAAATATCACTTATAGAGCGTTGATTTATGTTTTTGAGAATTGCGATAGTTGAATTTCAAACATACGTGAAAAATTTAAGCTTAATTTCTCATCACGCATGTCGTGGGCTTTTTAGCTTTAATTAGGGCTTACAGATACTAGTTAGCCCATGGTCTGTCGGATTAAGAGCCCAGGGGCTTTTGTGAAGAAAACTCAGGCTTTCCAACATTATGGGCTGCTAAACGGCCCACATTTTTCACCAGGCGGGAAATCACATTTCCCTATCATTGGCGGGAAAAGGGCTATATTTTCAGAGACAACCGCCCCTAGACCGCACATCTTGCTCCCACAAATCAAGTGGCTATAAATATCCCAAATCGCAACTGGCGTCAAATCCTTATTTTGGACTTCCTTCTGATTCAAAAGTTGCTCTCTCTCTCTCTCTCTCTCGACCAAACCCTCGATCTGAGAAAACAGCCATGGCGAAGCCCTCGAAGCCCCAGGTCTCGTCCGACGAGGCGCTCTCGAATTCGTCGTCGTCGGAGGAGCAGATTAACCAGCAGATCGACGAGGAAGAGGACGAGGAGGAGCTCGAAGCCGTCGGGCGCTCCGCTGGCTCCGACGACGACGCCAACTCTCCGGCCTCCGATGACGACGCGGCCTCCGCTGAGAATGGCGATGCCGAGGAGGAAGAGGTAAAGTAGCGGGTTTTCCCGTTCCGAAGGGTTCTGTGTGCTTCGTGATCTTTTGGTATCCGATCTAGGGTGGAGTAAGTTCTGTTCGCTAGGGATTTGAGAGTTCTTTACCATGCAATCGGTTTGGCCTGGAAGAAAATGGGCAAGTGGAGGTTTCAGGGATGGTTTTTCGGTTTAAATGCTCGTTTTTATTGGTTGAAATTGAATTGGTTATCTGAAGTGAGAAAAATAGTTTTTGTTTAGCTTTATGTTCGTTATCCTGCATTTTCCTTGTAGCCAAAAAGTGAATGAGGAAATTCCACATTTTTAGGAGCATTTAGGGCTGCAGATGTTATTATTTAACTTCTAGGGCTAGGACTCTGCTTAAGCACATTTCCAGTGTTGTTTAAATTCATAGAATCAAGTATAGTAGTCAATTTGTTGTTTTCTTGTTTAATAATACCTGGGCACATTTTTGATAGTTCCATGTAGAACTTCTCTCTCGATGTATGATCATTTCGAAAGGGCTATGCTAATTTGAGCTTGTAACTTTTGTATTATTAGTGTCCATAATTGATCTCACATTTACTGTTGTGTTATCTATGTGCAGGATGGAGATATCGTGCCCAATGCTGAGATTATCAAGCGTGAAAGAGTGAGACTGAGAGAAATGCAGCAATTAAAGAAACAGAAACTTCAGGAAATATTGGACACCCAAAATGCTGCCATTGATGCTGACATGGTCTGTTTTGTTTGCGGAGAGTCATTCTATCTGTTGGCCATAAGTTATGGTAGCTAATTTTATTGGTTATTTTTATTGTAGAATAATAAAGGGAAGGGGCGCTTGAAGTATCTCCTACAACAAACAGAGTTATTTGCTCATTTTGCTAAAGGTGACCAATCTTCATCCCAAAAGAAGGCCAAGGGAAGGTATATCTAATGTTCTTGTATTTTACGTGTTTGTTCCTCCCCATTTTGAAAGGGGAGTTAATTTTCCCCTTAGTTTCAAACATTGCTTACTGACATGCTATCAAACATATGCAAAACTAAGGGGCCGTCATGCATCAAAATTAACTGAAGAAGAAGAAGATGAAGAATGCCTCAAAGAAGAGGAAGATGGTTTATCTGGCACAGGAAACACGAGGCTTGTGACACAACCTTCTTGTAAGCTCTCTGTTTCCATATTGTTTGCCTTATTTATTCCCTCGAACCTCTGCATATCTGTATGCTGTTATCTTTGTGATTCAATGTGTTTCAAACGCTATCTAAATTGACATTTTACTCAAGAGTTGATAAATGTTCTTTTCCTCAAGTTTCTGTGCTTCTCTCATTCATGGTAATGGATTTGCAGTTCAGGACCTCAGGTGTGACTTAACTTTGTAAGAGCTGATTTTCCCATTTGTCTTTTTGCAGGTATACAAGGAAAGATGAGAGATTACCAACTTGCTGGATTAAACTGGCTTATACGACTTTATGAGAATGGTATAAATGGAATCCTTGCAGATGAAATGGTAAGTATTGTAGTGTGGTACACTAGGACTCTGATCAGTACTGTTCGTTTCCTCTATGATGTAGAGTTATCTATACTTAGTTCGGTTTGAATTTGTTGGTGTATTATGTGCAATTACCAACAACTGTATTTTTCTTTCAATCTCTTTTTGTTAATTATACAATTGCGTCCTTTTTATTTTGTCATTGTCAGGGTCTTGGTAAAACACTACAAACAATTTCTTTGCTGGGTTACCTTCATGAGTTTAGGGGAGTTACTGGTCCTCATATGGTAGTTGCTCCTAAATCTACTCTTGGAAACTGGATGAATGAAATTCGTCGTTTTTGCCCTATTCTGCGAGCTGTGAAATTTCTTGGCAATCCTGATGAAAGGGTATGTCATTTTGGGCTTAAATTTGATATCGAGTTTTATTGATTTTACAATATTGTGCTTATGTTCCATCATTCTTCTCATTTCTGCAGAAACACATACGAGAGGAATTACTGGTTGCTGGGAAATTTGACATTTGTGTTACAAGCTTTGAAATGGCCATCAAAGAGAAAACTACCTTACGCCGTTTTACTTGGCGCTATATAATTATTGATGAAGCCCACCGAATCAAGAATGAGAATTCCCTTCTTTCCAAGACAATGAGGATTTACAATACAAACTATCGCCTTCTAATTACGGGAACACCACTTCAGGTATAGTTTGGGATCCTATGGGTTCAGCTGAATTTCAATTTTTGTAATGTTTAATGCTTGACCCTTTTGCTGCAGAACAATCTTCATGAACTCTGGTCGCTGCTCAACTTTCTCCTGCCTGAGATATTTAGTTCATCTGAAACATTTGATGAGTGGTTCCAAATTTCTGGTGAAAATGACCAGCAAGAGGTCGTCCAACAGCTTCACAAGGTGAATTCCTATAAACATTTTTACATTCAATCTCCAGAACCCTTGATCCTGTCTTCAAGGTCCAAAGAAAAGTATTGTCGTGTTCTCCGTGATCTGATACTGTGTTATCTGTCTTTTTATTTTTAAGGTCCTCCGACCGTTTCTGCTTCGAAGACTGAAGTCAGATGTCGAGAAAGGTTTACCTCCAAAAAAGGAAACTATCCTTAAAGTAGGCATGTCACAGATGCAGAAACAGTACTACAGGGCTTTGCTGCAGAAGGACCTTGAAGTTGTTAATGCTGGTGGAGAACGTAAGCGACTTCTGAATATAGCAATGCAGCTGCGTAAATGCTGTAATCATCCATATCTTTTCCAAGGGGCTGAACCTGGTCCTCCTTACACAACTGGAGATCATCTTATTGAAAATGCTGGTAGGTTAAGAATTCCTTTTCATTTTGATGGGTGTCAACAATGATCATTGTACTTATCCTATATTCGGATATAGGTAAAATGGTTCTTTTGGATAAGTTGCTCCCAAAGCTAAAAGAGCGCGATTCGAGGGTCTTAATATTTTCACAGGTTAGTTAGATGATGTTTTAGCATACTGTGATTGCTTTATTTGACACATATGACCAGACATTAGTATCTAATTTAGTTGTATTTCTATGATTGGTAATGGTTTTGAAATCAAATCAGATGACAAGGCTGCTAGACATTCTTGAAGATTATTTAATGTTTCGTGGGTACCTGTATTGTCGAATTGATGGGAATACTGGTGGGGAGGACCGTGATGCGTCTATTGATTCCTTCAATAAGCCAGGAAGTGAAAAATTTGTTTTCTTATTATCAACTAGAGCTGGAGGCCTTGGTATCAATCTTGCCACTGCAGATGTTGTCATTCTTTATGATAGTGATTGGTGCGAGTCCATCTTTTTCTTTTGTTCTTGGTTGTTTTGATATTTATCTCTTTCTAATTTTGCTAATGCTTGGGGGGATTCATTGCAGGAACCCACAAGTAGATCTGCAAGCTCAGGATCGTGCCCACAGGATTGGACAAAAGAAAGAAGTGCAGGTGTTTCGGTTCTGCACAGAGGTATGAGTATGCTTTATTTTTCCCATTTTGAAGTCACTATACTGCTGTAATGTGAATCAATGTCTCATTTTGGTCTCTCTTTTGTCTGGGCAACAGTATACTATTGAGGAAAAAGTTATTGAGAGGGCTTATAAGAAGCTTGCTCTTGATGCTTTGGTGATTCAACAGGGAAGACTGGCAGAGCAGAAAAGTCAGTGTTGAGAATTTTCCTGTTATATTATAATATACTATTATCAAGAACTGGGTTCAGTAATATGTTTTTTTTTCTTTTTTTCTTTTTTTTTTTTTAAATCTGATGCAGCTGTTAACAAAGATGAGCTACTTCAAATGGTGAGATTTGGTGCTGAAATGGTTTTCAGTTCCAAAGACAGCACAATTACAGATGAGGACATAGACAGGATTATTGCAAAAGGAGAAGAGGCAACTGCTGAGCTCGATGCAAAAATGAAGAAATTCACAGAAGATGCTATCAAATTTAAAATGGATGATAGTACGCACTCACTACTTCAAGTTCTTATCACTCTTTTTTGCCTTTCACATTTTTGTGTTTTAGCAGTTGACATATTGTTACAATGCTTACTTAATATTATTAATGCTGTGCTGTGCAGCCGCTGAATTATATGATTTTGATGATGAGAAGGTGCGGGCTTTTTGTTCCCTGTTGTGTATTTCACCAATTTAAATTTTCCTTTTATTTGTGGTTTCATATGCCTCTTCACACACACACATAGTGTGTGTGTGTGTGTGTGTACACGTGTATTTAATTTTTTTCTAATGTGTTTTCCTTTTGGCCTTGTATCAAATGAAGGATGAGAGCAAGTTTGACTTCAAGAAAATTGTTAGTGAAAATTGGATTGAGCCACCAAAAAGAGAGCGGAAGCGCAAGTAAAGCCTTTTCTCTTGTCTGCAACTCTTGTAATTTGAACTTCTTGATGCATCTTTTTGACAATATTGACTTTTGGTTGCTTCTCTAACTAGTTACTCGGAATCTGAGTATTTTAAGCAAACAATGCGTCAAGGTGGTCCAACAAAACCAAAGGAGCCCAGAATTCCTCGTATGCCACAACTGTAAGCACTTATCAAACGATTATTACATTCTTAAATTTGTGTTCTCACCTCTATACATGCTAATGAATCTTTGGTTCTTTTTTCTCCCCCTGCAACTAGACACGATTTCCAGTTTTTTAACACACAAAGATTGAGTGAGCTGTATGAAAAAGAAGTACGCTACCTCATGGTGAGTATCAATGAGCTTTGTTGCCTTTCCTTTCTTGGTATTCTCTTTGTTTAGGGTGTGAGCTGTAGACAACGGTAAATTTACTTATTAATTATTCCCTTGACAATTTTCAGCAAACGCATCAAAAGAATCAGATGAAAGATACAATAGATGTGGATGAACCTGAAGGTATTTTTTTCATTGTCTGTTCACAATAGTCCAATCTTGTCATAATTTTACCCGAACTGCTTACTTGATGTTGAATCTTTGTTTTCTTCCATCTTTTGGTTTGTACTTTTCTTTTCCATTATTAATAATAACTTCTGCTTTTCACCAAAAAAAATAATTAATTAAATAAACAGAGGTGGGAGATCCATTGACTGCTGAAGAGCTGGAGGAGAAAGAACGACTTCTAGAAGAGGTAATTGGACTATATTTTCTTATGGTGAGGTTACTATCTAGGTTTTGTCATTAAAACTTGATTATTTTTTTTAGGGGTTTTCTTCATGGAGTAGGAGAGATTTCAATACGTTCATAAGGGCTTGTGAGAAGTATGGCCGAAATGACATAAAAAGTATTGCTTCTGAAATGGAAGGGAAAACAGTGGAGGAAGTTGAAAGATATGCAAAAGTTTTCAAAGAAAGATACAAGGAGTTAAATGGTAAGTGTATCTATTCAAACGTCATTGTATTTTGTATTGTAGGTTTTAGTTAGTCACTGGGATTAAGGTCAACTTGCAATCCACTGTGATAAACTGGATTACTAGGTTTTGGGTGCACTGCTCAAGCATTTGGTTGGATCAGTTAGTTCATAGTTAGCCTTCTCATGGTTTTTCTGGTTTAATAGGAAGGTTGGTTTTAGTTAGAACTCAGATTTTGTTTCAAGATAATGTAGCCAATACTCAAGTGGAATTAGCCTACACTAAAGTTACCATATTGCAACTATAGATCTCAGGCATCTTGTATTTTTATTAGAATATTATCGGGTCTTATGTTTCCAAGCTCGTAAAGAGTATAGTTGAACTTAGATTTTTTATTTTTTTTTATTTTTTAAATGAGTTGAGTTCTTAATTTGATTCATTTAATGTCACCCCCAGATTATGATCGAATTATAAAGAACATTGAAAGGGGTGAAGCTAGGATTTCTCGGAAAGATGAGATTATGAAAGCTATTGGGAAGAAACTGGATCGCTACAAGAATCCATGGCTGGAACTGAAGATCCAATATGGCCAGAACAAAGGAAAGCTGTACAATGAAGAATGTGACCGTTTCATGGTGTGAGCTCAAAATCTTTTGATTCTTCTCTCATGTTTCTGCTTTTGTACTGTTTATCTTTCTCTCGGTGTGAAATATTTCTGATGGTTTCGTGCCAAAATCCAGATATGCATGGTTAACAAACTTGGGTACGGTAATTGGGACGAGTTGAAGGCAGCATTCCGCACATCGCCCTTGTTTCGTTTCGATTGGTTTGTCAAGTCTCGCACAACTCAGGAACTCGCGAGGAGATGCGATACATTAATCCGTTTGGTGGAGAAAGAGAACCAAGAATATGACGAGAGGGAGAGGCAAGCACGCAAAGAGAAAAAGCTTGCTAAGGTTCGCTCCTCCTCCCTACTTAGGCATTGATTCACACTTTTTTCTTTTTCTGGTCACATGGTCAATCATATTAGTATTTTCTGTAATCTTATTATTTTGGATGGCTATGTTTCAGAACTTGACTCCTTCAAAGCGCTCCCTGGCTAGGCAGGCGACCGAGATCCCCGGCTCTCTAAAGAAGAGGAAGCAATTAACCATGGATGATTACGTTAGCTCGGTATGTGTCTGCTCTCTTTAAACACAAAACATGTTGAATAATAAATACTCTTGAAACCAGTATCACCAGGCGGAATGACAGATGCAAAATTTTGGTTTTTTTTTTTTGCAGGGAAAGAGAAGGAAATGATATGAAAATTTGTTCTGATTATTTTGGGGGATTGAAAACCTCACTGATTTCTACATTTTGCGTAGACATGTGCATGCTAAGGAGTTTATCTAGTGTGCATTCTGGTTATGGCCCTAGGTTTTTGAGATGTAATCAGGGTTCACAACTTATGACCCATAAATCTCTTTAGTAGAGCGGATAAGTATATTGGAAGTCTCGGGAAGCTGTATAGATGAATTTACTACTCTTCAGAGACTCCTAGAAACTAAAGTGTTAGTGATACTCGGATCATTAATCAATATATTAGTGGATTAGCTACTTAATTTTCCGGTTCTTCGCCGGAGGTCTAACAGATTTGGATAATTGAGCTAGAATTTTTGCGTTTTCCATATATTGATGTTATTGTCTGCTTAAAGTCTTAAAAAAATCTTGTACCTTGTGATCACAGGCTCAAATTAATAGCAGTATAACGCTTTTAATGTTTAAATCCTTGATTCATGATTACATACTACACGTGGTATCCGCAACTAAAAGGTCCGCTACACCGGTCGATGCGGTGGTTGAAGAAGTCTAAGATGCCAACTACTGTATGAAAGAGCTTGTGGATGCCGGAGGTTGATTTTTAATGTTGACTTTAACAGCGAATGTATTTTGTAAAGTCTGTCTCCTTCTTTCTTAAAAACTCTATTTTGTTAAAATAATGAGGTTTGTTTAGAAATACTTGAGTGTTTTGGATTTAAAATAAAATTTGAATTGGTAACGGTTTAATCACTCTCTTATTCAAATTTAATTTTTAAATGAGTTTTTACGTCACTAATCTCAGTTGGGGGGTGTGACAGAGTTCTTTTTGTTGTAGCTTGCTCAAGGGAGAGCCATTAGGAGAACTGCTAAGAGTAAGACCCCTTAAGTCAAGGCAATTGCCTAAGAACCTTTTAAGTCAAGGTCATTTATTATTCGGATTATTAATTAACTATCTTTACACCACATGTTTTTTGGTTAGTCACCTTTAGTTAATTTCATTTACACTTCAATAATTTGAACATATTAAATTAATCGGATTATTGATTAATATCTTTACAACATAAAGTTTTTGGTTAGAAACCTTTAATTAATTTCATTTACACTTAAAAATATTGAACATATATATATATATATTTTTTTTGGCTGAAAAAAACAAGTCTTACTACTCAAATCTTACTTCAGTTCTATAAAACTTATAACGTATGAACTAGTACTAGTTGAACACAAAAATAAGATTGTTTCTCAATATTGATTTTTAAAATTCATTATTTTTTCCTTCTAACAAATGATAATTTATCTTTTTCTTTTAAAAAAAAAAGAAAGATTGTCTGGCAATTTATCTCCCATAGTTGCTGAAACATTACAAATGACCAATTTTGACGGTGATGTTAAATTGGTGTTAGAAAATCACAACTGATCAAAAGATCCTAAATCTCAATTTAAATTTTAACATAAAGTTCTCAACTCTCAATCCCTTAAATCTAATAAGATGGACTACAACGGAATAATTTAACAAGTTGGAAGGGTGAGTTGCCAAAATTAGAAGTTTTCGGGGCAAACTATCAAAAATGCAAAAAGTTTAGAAGACAAAAGTACCAAAAAAAAAAAAAAAACCTAACCAATTGAGTCCCACATCACATCGCATAAAGAAAACACGGTCGGCAATTGGTTCTTCCATTTAAAAGGCTTGTGAAAAAAAAGATGCAAGTGCAATTATTTAAAAGGCTTTTTTAAAACCTCGTTTATGGTCTTTTTTAATAATGTTAAGGCGGTTTGTTTTTATTAAAAAATTGAAATCAATATTATTTTATTATTTTTAAAATGTAATTGGGGTATTATACACCAGATTTGACTCTAGAAATTCGTAGACAACAATAACATTTAAACGAAAGAAATCAGCCGAATTTCAACTGCTCAAAATCCCATTGTAGCATGAACTTCGAAAAAGCTCCAAACACATAGATGAACTTGTTGCGTACAACCACTTTATCATGAGATTATAGTAAATGTCCCAAATCGTACATTCTGGACTTTTATTGTTGCGTACCAGTTTCTGCTAAAATTTTTGTTCACTTTGACTTGTAGGATAGATGGAATTTTTGGATTAAATACTATAGTGCAATTTTCAGCTCTTATATATTGTACTACCGACAATTTATTATGATGAATGTCAGCTGCAGAACAAATTTCAGGCCCGTTTAATTCGCTGATTCAAATTTTTAATTCGAGTTGAGATGTGATTTTATGTGAGAGCTTTTTACTGTAGCAAAAAAATTAGATGTGATTGTTTGTGAAAATTTTTTACTATAACAAAACTCGAATTCTAAATTCGAATCAGCGAAATGAACGGACAGATTTTGGTTGCTTCATCGCCATATTAGTTAATTTTACTCGTACAAGGTGATAGCATAATCAACTATTTTTTATCAAACATTTTTTTTTTTTTTAAACAAGCCGAAAACATTTTGACTCAAGAAATGCATATACAATAACTGTTCGAGGAAAGATGTAGCATTCAAACCAAACCCACCAAAGTTTTTTCTTAGAGACTAATTTATGTGCGCAAAAATTAGAGTCTTGAATCCCCTTGTAACATGAACTCAAAAAAAGCTCTAAATACATAGATGAACTCGAAAAAAAGCTCTAAATACATAGATGAACTCGAAAAAAAGCTCTAAATACATAGATGAACATGTTGCATACAACCACCATGTTGTGGGACTACAAGTAAATGCCCCAAATCATAAAGCTACCCCTTTTTTCCAAAATGCCTCCTCTAATTGTGTCTCCTTTTATCATAGTACGGAAGCATTCAGTTGCATACTCAACTACAAGAATGAAATAGGATAAGCAACAAAATACAAACCACTTACTCCCTAGATCAAAAGGGAATCCCCAAGGCAATAAAGGATGAGACTGTATATGCATGCAAATTCTGTTTTCGTTTACGACATTGATCCACCAAACGCACGACACTTTTGTCCAAGAAGATGATAGCAAATTACTTGGCAAGTTGACATTTTTGTGCATTCTACTCGTTTGTACCATCAAAGCTACCCATTGCAGTTGCCCGCTTTTTCCAGTTCTCACCCCATACTTTTGCTTCTGCCACTTCACGCTCTCTATCTAAATCACGGGTCCTTGGAGTTTCTCTTGCTCTGCCAGCACTTGCAGGACTGTCTCTCTGAGAATCCGGTCGATCTAAATCATCCAAACCCCATTTTCTTCCAGACCCACCACCAGTTTCAATCCTGCCCAATTCTCCGCCAGTGTTCAATTCCCTAACGAGGTCTCTCTTTCTAAAATCAGGCGAGTTTCTATGGGTGGAAGGAGAGCCATTACGCCTGCCATCTGGGCTATCCAGCCCTTCAGCCATGCTTCTACGGTCATCCCTACTCCTGGGAGTAGATGGACCGACTCTATTACTATAAGGAGGTGCTGCATTAGGGTCGTAGGTCTGGGAGGCTAAGTATGTGAGAGCAGTCACCACATCTCCAATTAGAGGTCTTGTAGCAGCTTGTTCCTGCAAACACATGGCTGCAACTGCAAGAGCTTGGTAAAGTCCTCGCATTGGGTAACGGCCTTGAAGTAGTGGGTCAGCCATTTTTGGGAACTTCCGGCGATCCTTGAAAAGTGGTCGCGCCTGCAAACCCCATAATCACACAAAACAGGAAAAGAATGCAAATATGCTTAACAATTTAAAACAACTCAAAAACATAAAACAACAGGAGAAATAACATAAAATTGACAAGGAGAACTTACCCATGCAACGAGGTTATGCTCTCCAGGAGCTCGAGTATTATCAATTGCCTTGCGACCTGTAATAAGTTCGAGGAAAACAACTCCAAAACTATACACATCGGACTTTAGGGTGAGTTGGCCAGTCATGGCATACTCAGGCGCGCAATATCCATATGTCCCCATCACACGCGTGGAGACGTGAGTTTTATCACCAACAGGACCCAGTTTTGCAAGCCCGAAATCAGACAATTTAGGGTGATAGCCCTCATCAAGGAGGATATTGGATGATTTCAAGTCTCTGTATATAACAGGAGGGTTTGCTTTGTCGTGCAAATACTCCAATCCCTTAGCGGCACCTGCTGCAATCTTCATTCTAGTATTCCAGTCCAAAGGCTCCTTGTCTGGTGGAAGATCTGAAATTTACGAGTAATCAGGTTATTTGCATAAGGTATATATGTCCAAGTCATACTAAAGACAGACTTGTCAAATACGGTTTTGATGTGCTCAAAGAAACACAGATGATCATTCTATAGCTCAAAGTAGTATCATTTCCAAACCATTATCACCAATATCCACATGAAATTGTTTGTTTTCCCGTACAAAATAAGAGTGATATATAAGTTACTTCATGTTCTTGAGTTAGTGAAATGCTGAATGTATAAAGAAGTGATTTTCATTTCTACTGCTTGTGAAATGTTTACAATAATTTACCAAAAAAAACAAAAACAAAAACAAAAATCCTCAATAAATTAACTGTACAAACAGTTTGAATATTCAAGTATACATTCAACTATAACAAAAATGGAAACAACGAGAAAGTACAACAAGAGGGTAACTTTGCAATCATTCGTTCCAGAAAAGATGTGTTTAAGATACAAAGTACAAACGCATCATTCAAGGAGACAAATATTTGGCACCGGTAGACTGAAGTAGTTGTCGTAGACGATATATTATACACTTCAATAAAGATACAAATAAGTAAACTCAATTGCCTATAAGCTTTTCTTAATTCTTAAAAGAGAAGTTTTGGGTCGTTTTCAAAGTTCGTTGCTGTTCTAAACTACTATAAAACAGAGTTTTCACCGAGCAACACTAACAAGAAATAGCATCAGTTCTGGTTAATAACACCCGGAGAACCTAATCAACATTCATATAGCTAGACAAAACATGCATTGTACCTAAACCTCATAATAGAACCTTTGAAAGTAATGAACCAAATAGCCATCACGGCCAACAACAACAAAAATCAAAGGCTTAAACCCAAAAATTGGTTTCTGAACATGCTTTGCTCAACTTTCTACTTTCTAGAAACAGCTCTGTTATTCCAGATAAAACCTACTATCCGTAATAAGCCGCCTATTTTAACTGTTTCCTGGCAACCTTTCTAGCACGTTTCATGAACCCTGCCCAAACTACATTTTTTATGCTGTCCATCTTAAGCATTTTGGTAGGTAAAACAGACAGTCTAAATAATTTATTATGCACATAGGCCTTTTAATTGGGATTAAGGGTTCATTAGGTCGGTCACTTTTACGCAAATTTAAAAGTGTCTTCTGAATATTTTCCTAGAGTTCGCTCCAAAAAATCTAATCCAGCAAGAGTGATTTTCAAGAGTGTGTGTTTCATCAAGCGGCAGATTTAGCTCTTATCCAACTTCTACATGGAAAGCATCCAAAAAAGAAAAAAGAAAAAAGAAAATCTTTGTTATGGAATGGAAAAGGAGCAATACCATGTAAATGATCCTCCAAGGATCCCAGAGGCATAAACTCATAAACAAGAAGGCGCTGGTCTCCATCAGCGCAATATCCAATCAGGTTGACAAGATTTGGGTGGTGTAAGAGGCTAAGCATAAGAACCTCCACCAAAAATTCACGATTTCCTTGCAGGCCGTTCCGGTCGAGTTGTTTCACAGCAACTACCTGGACGAGTAAGTATGTCCAACAATAAACTACCATATATTAGATGAGGATGTAGCAATTCACACAAAAGTTTAATAAAATGGTTCAGAAATGGAAAATACATATTTAAATGGAACAAGTGACGTGAAATTCAATAGGACAGATCGTGCAAAGGAATCGAAGCTAAAAATCAGACTACTGACTGTGCTCCATTTATGGTGTGGATGATGATATATACTACAATTACCATACCTGGCCCGTGCTCTCCAAGCGACCTTTGTACACGCGCCCAAATCCCCCTTCGCCCAATAAACATTCCGGTCTGAAATTCTTTGTGGCAGCAGCTAGCTCCCGAAATGTAAATGTTTGTGCAGCAATATGTGCTGTCGGACCATCTTTCGGAATAGTTGATTCCTTCTTAGGATCAGAACCACTTCGCGATTTTGATTTCTCTGCAAAATTTATAAGTCAGATTCATTACACCCGCGCATGAGAAATAGAACCCTAAACTAGAAAAAGAGTCAAAACAAATGCCTCCATCTACTTGTACGTTTTCCAATTGGGAGTACTCGAGCAAGTCGGAACCATAACATGAAATCACCAACAATGGTATTCAATCCTTACAACTCTTTCTAAGCAGGATAAGACATAAAGCTAGTACCTTTTCTTAATGAACTTCCCACTATAGCTATGCGACCGTGTCAATATCGAAATCTTGCAGTTTCATTTGATACTGCATTCTACATTTTTACAGAGAAGCAAACACATATATCTACGCTATAAATTTCCACTTCTTCAATGTTGTTTCCATTAGTTTGTGAAGCCTAATTATTGTGTTGACGATTATCGACTTACGCACGACACCACACGAATCGACGTTAGGGTTAATCATAGAGATTATAGAAAACAGAGTGGAGAGGTGTGTAATTTTCTCTTGCAAGTTTTTCTTCATCATAGTAAATTAGTGTGGCAATTGAAAGTGGATGTAACTCTCACATTGAGGGTGAACCACTAATCTTACGTGTTCTTATTTTTACTTTTGTTCTAGGTTTTATTGTTCTCGGTAGTATAAAATAAGCGCGTCGGATACTTAACCCCATTCCATAAAAGATATTACCATATTTTCTCATTAGCAACTATCTACACCTATCGCACATTTTGACAGTTAACACATTCCATCACCAGAACACAAAATGGAAAATTTTGGAACACCCAATTACAGATCTCCAAGAATGCTTCAAAATCCAATTCCAATCAAAATTGCAATTCAAGCACCACAAATAACAAGCAATTAACCACAAATTCAACAGACCAACTGAACCATCCCATCCCAACACAACCCTAAATCCTATCAGATCAAACTGACCCAAAAAAGAACACAAAACAAAAATCCCCACAAAAGCCCCATCACAAAAACACCACAATCCAGCAAAAACCAAAGCATACCCAGTAACCCAACTGGCCAAAAACACAAAACCCAGAAACAATTCCGTTGAATTACAAGTCTACAGATTAAAAAAAAAAGAGATGATTTTTGAAAACCTGAGCTAACTCTGGTGACATGGTGAGACTGAGCAGTTGAGCCTTCTTTAACTGAATCCTTCTTGTTCACTTCCTTCACACCACTCCCATCATTATTTGACGATCCAAAGCAAGGGAAACACCCACCCATAATCAAAATCCGACCAAATCAAACCCACCCCACAAACCAAAACAAAACAAAACAAAAAAGACAAACTCTTTTTCAAAAACAATCACTATTCTTCATCTTCTTCTTCTCTTATCACCATAATCATAATCTTATAATCAAAATTGGGTCCTTTTTTCTTCTTTGCCTCACTTTCTCTCTCCTCTTCTCCGCGGGATCTTCAGTGCCCATTAAGGAGAAAGATCGAGAGCAACATGTCCGAGAAGCAGATCAACAAATCGAAGAAACTGATGTGGTTGAAGAGAAGGTAAAGGGAAAGAAGAAAAAATAAAATAAAAAGATAAATAAATAAAAGAGAATAATGGGGCTTAAGTTTAATAATAATGAAATCAATGGGTTGTTTTGGTGCCTTATTATTAATCTAATTTTTCTCTAATTAATCACGAATTAAAGAGCTAAATTTTATTCTAAAAAAAAAAAAAAGAAGCTAATCTCTCTCCAGTCTCCCATTTGGAAAGGAGTTATAATTACCAAATGCCACTGAGTCTTTTTTTAACTCCTTTTTTTCCCTCTTTTGGAGTTTTGACTTTTTTTACATTTTTGCCCCCTAAATTTTTACAAATTTACGGCCTAGGGGTAAATTAATCATCATCGCGACGGTCGGGAGAAAAGTAGGTCCCACATTTGAGGGATGTGCTTCCACACACTTGTGATGGACATTCTTAACACGTTTTTTTCCTTAATTATAGACATAAAACAAATAATTAAGGACTAAGGAAATTGGGTTTTAGTTCTCTGCAGTAAAGTCCATTTTAGTGTCGTTCGTATAGGGTTTGGAGAGCCGTTGGATTGAAGGAAGATAATGAGTGGGTTGGTGGGCTAAAAAGAGTTAAAAAAAAAAAAGTTTGACGTCGTGGTGCTTGATCCAACCTTATGGGAAATTCAAAATCAAGTACACCACAGAGAAATCAAATAAATTTATTACCATGATATTTTAAATTAATTATTTTATGTAAACATTGCTGCTTAAACTTTTTTTCTTGTCAGAAAATATAATATTGTAATTGTTTTTTCCAAGGTTGTCTTTCATAGTTTAGAGACAAGCTAGGGACAAGTGTTACAGCCTTTGATACTGTACTAGTACTAGTCTCCATTATGCCAATGTTATTATTATTATTATTTTTTAATTGGCGAATCAATATGAAAATAAAAATAAATCTCTAACATTATGATTTATATGGAAAAATTTTCATCAAATTTTTAGACACATATGTATGCTATTTTCTAAAAACGTTATATTGGAGTCAAATCAAATCAGTCCATTTAAAAAATGCCAATGTTGAATGTCAGAAACAACCAAAAGAAACAAAGAAATAAAGAAAAAAAAAAGATGAAATAAATTGAATGCAAATACCCCACATTACATGATAAAGTAGCATCTTTTTTTTGTTTGGTTTTGGTACCAATGCCAGATCATAATATTAATGTATATTTCACATGGATTTATATAACTTTGAAATTAACATATAAGAGAATCATTAGCATGTATTCCATAACTTTGAAATTTCAATTCCAGCTCTATTCCTACACAATACTTCTTCTTTTTCTTTTTTTTTTTATTTTTTTTTATTTTTTTTATTTTTTTGATAGTGATGAAAATGGGGGGGCATGTTGGCATTATTTGAACAAAGTTGAAACCCATGATCATGTTATTAGCTATTCTTCTATTAATGGAACATTCATGAATCAATTGGTATCTCTTCTTTTACTTTATTTTATTTTTTTTCAAAAAACAGAAAATTTATTTTGTATCATTTCCCACTTCGGAACATGAAAATCCATCTTCTTTCCATAAAAGAGCATTCATAGGCCGACTAGCGAGCTATATGATCTATCATGTTTTTTTGCTTTTTCATCAAAAGCCTTTCAGGCTTGAATTTCAAGTACAGTTTCATGATAAAAGCCTGGTCGTGATAATTAGTTTGTGCACTAAAATCTTTTGTTTTTTCATGGTAGTAAATAGATCAACATTTTATTTCCCGGACAAAGCAAAAGCAAAAATTTTAAAAGAAGCAACTCAAAATAATCAACGCGTGATAAATAACAATAAGGCCTATTCATTTTGTTAATTTGAGTTTAGAATTCAAATTTTATTATAATAAAGAGTTTTCAGAAATAGTTATATTTAATTTTGTTATTACAGTAAAAATCTCTCACATAAAGTCACATCTCAACTCGAATCAACGAACTAAACTTGCCTTAAATGTGTGTCATGTTTATAGTAAGGTGTATAATAAAATATGTGTTAAGTGTTCATGCATATAATTAAAATATAACCCATATTTGGAGCCAAAAAAAAAACCATATGATTAATCTCTGCTGGTGGCAATTAAAGCATGGCTAATCCATATGATTCACATGGCAAATTACTATTGGCCAACACACTATTATATTTAAACTCATTGATATGTTTTCAGTGTATTATTACCCTTAATATGTAGATAAACATGACCGTTATGAAATCACTATCTTTTATAAACATAATATTGAATAGTCTAAATATGTTGAATGTGATTGCTTTTGGTGTGGTGCTTAATCCATTTCCCCTAATTATATAGTTTCGTTCCCATTAGAATACCTTTTTGTGGGAATTCCCATTATAATTCTTAAGATGATGTAAAGGGCATTGCACCGACTTTTGTCATATTCCACACGTAATTTGATTAATCCCTTGCAAATCCTAACAAATTTTAAACTTGCACACCTCTTCCATTGAAGTGTAAATATATTCAAAAAAGATTGTATTAGTCATCCAAAAAAAAAAAAATACTTACTTAGCTCCTAAGTCCTAACTATTTTATACCAAATAATAAAGCAAAAATTACGTAATACTCCATTAAATTTAACAAAGTTCGTGATTCGTTACAATATTTTTTCTCATAAAAAATACACGTAAATAAAAAATGATTATGAATCTATGAACTAAACGTCCACTTAATGTAAAAATATACGCGTATAATTACAAAAATAATTACGCGCCAAGAAAAAAGGAAAAAAAATAAAGAAAAAAAAAATAGAGAACAGAGGGGTATATTAGGTAAATAAACAATAATTCAGGTTAAGTCAGCAGTCAAAGAAAGAGAATCTTGTTTAGGATTTGGTCTTTTTGTTTGTTAGATTTCTTGCAGTTTAACGCATGGAGCGGCGGTTAAGTTTATCCTCTTTGAGTAATTATATGCTGCTGCCCTCTCTATAGCTCTCACCGTACATCTCCCCAAGTCCACACATTCCGGCCCATCTGATTATTCATAGCCATGAGACTTCAAGCCCAAACCCAAACTAGAGCCAGATACTCGTAATGTAAGGCCCAATACAACTTATGATGATAAAAAGACAGTTGCACCTTTTTTTTTTTTTTTTTTTTTTTTTTTTGGGGGGGGGTTCAAAATCGTCTTGTAGTGCAGTCAATCGTGAAATTATAGTTAAATTATGCCTACAATCACGTTTTGGCTTTCATTTACAACACTTTTTTCCATCCTTCTTTTTAAAATAGTCTCAAATTTTCTATAAAAGTGATATTTTTTTGAATGCAAAAAACATTTCATTAATCAAAAAATTATAAAATTAACAGAGAACTCAGTATAAAAAACTTGATACAATAAACTAAAATTGATAGATTCGTTAGCGTCTTAATACAAGGATCCAAAGTCCGATAATGGACACAATTTGGAGCAATTCACTTAGCTCGTTTAATTCTCCCTCCACGATTGACTCTCCCGAAAGGACGGTAACAAACTCTTTGTAAAGTCCAATATCTGAAAGTTAATATTCTTTTAGATCATGCTCGCCGAAGCGAGAGATCTGTCTAAAGACATATAAAAGATAAAAACCCACACAATGTTATAGCTTGGTGGGGGAACACGACCAAAAACAACAAAAAAAATTAAAGTCTGCACATATCTAACAATTTGTGGGAAAAATAAACACCAACACCGGCAGAATGATTGCCTTTATCCCATGAACAACTGAAAAAAGAGAAGAAAACACCAACACCGACTCCACTATCGTGTAGTTTGACTGACGCATAGAGCGTGGGTGTATTTTAGGGGCCGATTGACCGGAAACGCGCTTTTAATAATCGGTCAAACTATTCCGGTCACTCTATCCTCATGACTTTTTTCCCATAAAAGTAATATCAGGATATTAATATGGTACCCTACTCATCTAATTATATGTAGTTATTTTATGACAATTTCATCTATATAAAAATGAACAAGCAATTTACTATTAAAAACATGATAAGTTATATTTAAAAATAAATTTTATGGTCATTGGACAGTTAGGTTTTTGTCTGATTTGGTTTACACTTAGGATTTATTTTTTCTTTAGGTATGCAATTTAGTTGTTGAGTCATATTTATTTCCTTTTTTTTTTTGTGTGGCTCCGTGTATGTCAATGTTTAAAGCTAAGACTTAATTTGAATGCGTTTATATATTTTAAAAATAAAGAAAAACTATAAAACTAGAAACATGTTGTAATCATTTGTTTTAAGACTGCAATCATGTTGCAGCGAGTATTTATTATGGTAAATTAATTATTATGTTGTTTTGTAGTCTTGGCTTAAATATTTGAAAGGAGGGGAAAAAAAAAAAAAAAAAAAAATCAAACAGGTTGCATATTCGAAAAGAAGAACGGGGCTGTATCATATAATCATCTCTCAATATATAAACGGGAATTGCGTTGTCAAGTGGACGGTTCATTGACCACCGCCTTACCATAACACGTGGCGATAGTCTTATGGTCAGTGGTCGTTGACTAACTAATTAGTCAGCTTTTATTTTTTTTATTTTTAATCAGTTTTTTATTTATTTTTTATCTTTTTCTAGAACTTTCAGATCGCCGTCCTGCAAAGTTGATTGGTCAAGAATTAGTGTCAGTTTTAACTGTTACTTTGATTGTTGAAAAAGAAAGTCGTATTTTTATTCACATTTCACACTGGCCTTTGAAAAAAATAATTATTTTGAAAAAAAAAAAAATACATGCTGAAGTAATGAAATGACATGTCTGAAGGACGTTTGTTTATAGATATTGGCTTGGCATTAATATGGGAATAACACGATTAAAATGAAATCAAGAAAAAATGCGAAGATATTTTTTTTTTATTATACTCTGAATTTTGTGATTATTTTCAATTTGCACTCTAAATTTTAAAAATTCTTATTTTATCCTTTGAATTTTAGATTAGTCACATTTAAGCTCTTTTATAAGAATTTTTGTTACAATCAAATTGGAAAAAAATAGTTAAGTGTGATAATGTGATTTTTATCCATTTATTTTTAACAAGTAAAAAAAAGATCATGTGACTGTCTTACTCTTTTTTTTCTATATGTTTTTTAACAGAAATTCAAACAGAATGAGTTAAGTGGAATAAATTTAAAATTTAGAGAACAAAGTTAGAATTTTTACGGTTCGAGATGTAAACTGAATATAACCTCAAAGTTTAGAAGGCACCATGATAATAATTTTTATTTTGTACGTGTCTCAATAAGAAGCAATGATTTAAAAAAAAAAACTAAGAACGAATCGTTTTAATTTTTATGTTATATAATAATATACTTTCCTATGAAACTCTTTAATTTTGCAGCTACAATGTTATTATTAGTATATATTTTAGGGCTGAAGGAGCTAATATTTTCAATATATATGTGTGAATTTTTTGGTGCATTTTTCTTAGTGTTGTTTGTGGAGTCTTATATACTATTTTTTTGAGTGTTTGCTTTGAATTTATAGATGAAACCGGTTGTTCTTGTTTGTTTTTATATTACTTCACGATAAAGAGTATTTCCATCTTTAAAAAAATGTTTGTGTCGACAAACAAAGTGGTTTTAGTTAATATTTTGCTTAGGTGATTGTAAAAGCCAATGTTTTTTTTTTTTCCTGTAAAAAAAAAAATCAATGTTTATGTATATATTATAAAATTAGGAACGGGCTGATAGAATCAAATTCTAGCTTCCAATGAAAAACTTCCGACAATGCGAATATATTGCCTATTCTCTAAATGGTATTATTAATGGCTTTGATCGAGAATTTTCAATCATATATACTATAAGTGGTTTTACGAAAGAGAAATAACTTTTATAACGTGAATGTGATTCTCTTCGGCAGCTTTGTAAAGTGAAATTCTTGATTTTGAAATAAAATATTTTACTTTAGGTACACTTTGGGATCTCTCTGTAGAATGTAGATATTAATTAAACTATTGCATAGAACTAAAACTCTTTTTTTATTGGACTCCCACATAGCAGCCTCTCCGCTAATTTTTTTTTCTTTTTTATTTCTTCATTTTTTCATTTTTTAAATTTTAAATTTTAAATTTTTTTGTATTTTTTTTTTACATTTTAATTTTTTTGTGTTTTTCAAAAATATATTGTTGCTCATTTTATTCTTACGAGAGTAATTTTTTTAACTTGTGTTCTTATTTATTTTTAATTGATTAAAATAATTTTATTCAAATGTGTCTCTACTTAAATTTTTTTTTTGTCAATTGTTATTTTTACACATATTTTTGTAAAAATAAATTTAAAAATCCTTAAATGGTACTAAGTATACAGTAAAACTATCATTGTTTTTAATTAGGGGAAAAAATTTGCTTATTTAATTATCGTTATGCACGGTGAAGTTCATAATTCTCACCGTCATTGAACATAAATTTCTTTATAGCAAAATATACATGACGATAAGATCAATCACATTGTAATTTGCAATAAAAATGCTGGATATAATAACATATATAAAAACTGTACTGTGAGAATTGAGAGTCATGGTATCTCCTGACATCTTTCGACGATTATCTCATAATGAAATTAAAACAGAATCTTAAACAAATTCTAATCTTAATAATCAAACAAAGGTTGAATTTTTTTCCTTTAAATTCCAATTCCAGTAGTCCTATATCTTACACTAGAACACAATTAACAAAATAATTAAAGACATTAAACATAACTAAATTAATGAACTATAAACAAATTCTCATAAAATCTAACAAACACTAACCATTTAAAAAAGTAGGTTTTTTAAAGTTTCCAAATAAGCTTTGTATTAATGTTGCAAAGTTTGGAGGCGACGGCAACAAGAAGTTGTTGGTGGCAAAGAAGAAGAAATCATGGGTGCGTTTGGAACTGGTTCCAAAATAATTTTATTTTTTGTATGAAAATAAAAATGAAAACGTTTTTAATCTTAGACAGAAATTATATTTGAAAATGCGTTTGGTAGTTTTATCAAGAGATTATTTTAAGTATAAAAAACTTATTAATATCTCTCTTTCTTTCTCTCTTTGCTCGAGAGAAGAGAAAATAAAAACAAACAATGAAAAATGACTAAAAGTCGTTTTTCATTTCTCTATCATTTTACACTGAACTAAAAAATTATTTTTTTGTTTTTATTGTGCCAAACGCCGTTTTAGAACGTTTTTATTTTTTTTCTTGAAAAACGTGAAAAACAAAAACGGAATCAATTCTAAACATGGCCAATATTTTCTTTTTCTTTATTTTTTTTTAACTTTTCGCAACATGCCAAGCTCAAGTCTGAGCGAAGGGGTATAAAGTTGAAGATTAATCACAAAGGTTTTTGAAAACCATGGTAAAACGTCAATTTTTTTTAACAATGATTTCATAATTAGGAAACGTCGTTAAAAGATCACATATGAAATGAAATAGCCGTTTTCACATATATGTGCACATAAAATTTTTGAAACATAGACAATTTGTGCTGGGTTTTTTTATGTCTATTAGATGACTATTTCGATAAAATTATCGTTGTCTATGTGTAGTGTAATCACCACCACCACCACCAAATAAAATATAAACAAGAACTACTTCAGTTTTAGAGGGGGTTTTTTTTTTTTTGGATAATTAATTGAAAATCTTAGAAAGGGTGAAAACAAAGTACCTACCTCTGACATGACCAAAGAAAATCGCCACAAGAAATGTTATTATTGAGACATAACGCTACTTGTATCATGAGACAAAACGCGTTATTTTAGGAGACGTTTGGTTTATGTGATTAGAACCATTTTCGATTTACGTGTATTTTTTGTGAAAAAAAAACACTGTAGCGAACCATAAACTATGATTCGAATCAGAGAACGAATCCTCTAACCAAACGGGCTTTTAATTAAGATTAATGAATATTGAGTCCCCAGTGAAGATAGTCTCAAATGCTTCTCAAGTACTTTAACATGTAGAAGACCTCTAGTAATTCTAAAAAAAAAGTTTCAAGCGCTCTTCTGAACATTTACCAAAACCACTTTTAGTTATAGATAGTTGCTTATAATTTGGGCATTGCGTAAATATACAGCTATAAACCTCATATATAAGATATACAAGCAGAAATTAATTAATGGAGGAGATAAATAATGGCAAGAAGAATCACTTTAGTTGGTGACAAATGCGTGGGATGGTTAACGAAAGGAGAAAAAGGTGATGTGATTGAACATTAAGAGAAGAAAGAGACCTACTTTACATAGATGGCAGTACTTGCCTCTAATTCCATATATTCGAATAAAAAGGAGAGCTTGAACAACGCCAAAATGAGGGTAGTGTATGATGATTTAATGTAGCAATTGGAATACGGCATTACAATGATATATCGAATTTGGTGCGTATTTAAAAAAGCTTTCGAAAGTTGTCCGGATGAACCCCACAAGCAAAATTCCAAAGGCCGTATATATATATATATATGTATGTATTTGATCCACTTCTCGTAGCAGATCAAGAATATATCCATTTTTATTGGCGTTACCTTTGTAAAAATGGAGACCCCATTTGGGGATTTGATACATGCCACGTAGTACTTGCAGAATTTTCAGCGTTTATTCCAATTTTGCCTTAAATGTTCACGAGCCTCATATACAAAGTGCCGAATTTTTAACTCGACCATCAATGGAGATGTCACAACTTTTTGTGAAAAGACAATATTCTATTGGATATATATCCGGTGAGAAATTGTCACATCAATTCGTGAACAAAATTCGATAAATTAATAAAGTCGTGCCTATTAGTACTACCAAATATTATTACAGGCACGAGATTAGCATCTCTCTTAACTATATATATCTCTCATTAGTGTGTGTATATATATATATATATATAGACTATATATCAAGAAAATAGAACAAGTTCTACCAAAAAAAAAATAGAAAATAGAAACAACGGGCCATATATATATATTAAACACTCAATTTAAATCATTCCATTAATGGAATCACATCCAAAAATTATACATATGTTTGAGAAAAGTGTCACAATATTAAGTAGTAGTATTACACATAAAAAACTAGCTAGTTTATGTATAGACTCTGTAGATTATTTCCGTACAATGTACTTCGGAAGCCGCCGATCACAAGTACTCAAAACAAAAAAGAAGATAAAAAAGAAAAATAGACAATACAACGGATGATTATACATATATACATATATATATATATATATATCATGGGTTTATAATCAGTAGTTAACCTTATTGATGACCCGGACATGATCAAAGTAGTAGCTAGTTAGTGTATGATAGTTATATATGTGTGTGTGTCCATATGTCGTTTCTAAAGCCAGAGAGCTCCAGCATCCTTGAGCAGTTTCTTGAGCGAGCCATTGAGCTGAAGGGTCATGATTGTGTTTGCTGAGCCAACGAAGTTGCCACCAATGAAGACCGCCGGGACTGCGGGGTTGCACCCGAGGCGCATGAGGGCCCACTCCATCTCCTTCCCTCTCGAGTCCTCGTCGATCTCGTACACCGCAGGGCTCACCCCTTGCTCGTAAAACAGTCTCTTGATTGCATGGGACATGCAACACGAGCTCTTGCTGAAGATCACCACCGCCTTTTGCGACGCCAATTTCGCGACGCGATCCATGTGTCGAGTTCTTTGTAGCTAGCTAGCTAGTTCTTGATTGAATCCGGAGAGTTCTAATTGCGCAAATTTGGCTAAATTAGTAATAGTTTCAAATGTGAGTAGTTATTATATGATAAAAGAAAAAGAATATATAGGCTAGAAAATGTGGTGAAATATGTATGTGAAGGTTTGTGACAATTGTTATATGTGAAATGTGTTAGTTTGGAAGCTCTGGTTTGTGATGGAATTTGACATGTTATGACCTTTATATATATAGGGTAGAGAAAGGGAAAGAAAAAAAATTTGCATTCTTTAATCCAAAAGAAAAAAAAAAAAAAAAGTTGGACGTGGTATAGAAAGTTGAAGGTTCCTCTAGATATTTGGATCGATTCCCGAAAATACCCTTGGATTGTGTGGCTTGTTGGTATAATTAACTAGCTTTAGATTTACATAGTTTTTGTGCCGAGAATCTTAAGAGACTATAAAAGATAAGGCTCCAAACGTTGCCGAAAGTGGGAATAATATATATCATATATTACAAAGATGCGGAGAGAGAGAGAGAGAGAGAGAGAGAGAGAGAGAGGGAGAGAGGAAAGAGAGAGAGAGAGAGAGAGGGGGAGAGAGGAAAAAGTAACGTACGGACCTACAGTAGGTAGTTGTGGACGAAAATGCCCCTCGTGAGTACAATGTGGCTTGGGAATGTCAACTTTGGATAGAATATTGATAACGTACGTGGGATGAGAAGGTGACAGATTTAGACGAGCACAAATCGTGGCATCACACACAGGCTGATCATGTTTTTGGCTCTTTCTTTTGCCTCTTGATAGATATGGCTTTGCGCCATATCACACTATATAGCTAGTTCTTAATTCTTTTGAAAAAGTAAATGGGGTAACACATTTTTAGATAATGTCCACATATTCAAGTTTAATAGTGTTTTTGGTATGAATGAAAAGTGAAAGTAAAGAAAATGTTAGGAGGGATTTTGGGATGGAAATTAAAAAGTTAGTTTGTTTGGTAGAAAGGAAATTGTGAAGAAAAAAAAAATTGAATAGAAATTTTTATTGGTGGGTCCCACCATATTCAATTCCTCTAAAAGTAGATGGATTTTAACAAGGAAAAAATAGATAACTACACAAATGAAGTTAAATTACTGAATTGTCCTCATTTTCATTCAAAATTGTCCTCATTTGGGCAAAAAAGTAATTGCATTAATAATTTTTTCATCTCTTTAGTTTCACTTCTAATACCAAACAAGGGAAGATAGATTCATTTTCTTTCTTCCTTATCATACTAAACAAGTCAATAGAAAATCAAAATCTTTTCTATACTTCTAATTTTTTATGCATTATAGTTTTCTTTTCTCTCCCATTTTCTTTCATTCTTACCAAACAGAGTGTAAATTCAAGGAAACTTGAATACATAGACTGGGAAAAGAAAAAAAGGAGCTGGGCTTGAGTAGTGAAGACTTGTATATGCTATAGTAATGTAAACTGTATATATGACAATAATATTAAAGGGTTGTTTTGTACAGATTAATAGGGGATAAGAGGGAAATAGCATATTTAGTAAATTATAACATATTTTTTTTAAAAATAGTAGATTATAGCATAATTTGATATTTTAAGTTTTAAATATTATTCAAAACTTAAAAATACCCCAAGTCTCTTTTTCACTTCTCTCTTCTTCTCTCTATAGTCAAGTTCACCATGGCCGGCTCCGGCGACCATTTTCCTGCGGCCGTTCCGGCAAGTGGTATTTACCAACAAATATCATATTAATCTAAAAATCTGGCGCTTGTCTTCGGCAACTGGTAAATACCATTTATACTAGTAAATATTGTATTTACTATATTTATTTAAAAATCTGACAACCGGCTTAAGCGACCGATAAATACCATATTTACTAGTAAATATTATATTTAACTGAAAATTTGGCCACTAACTTTGGTGATCGTTTAACACTATATTTACCGATAAATACTGCATTTACCAGTAAATACTGTATTTACTAATAAATATCATATTTATCCAAAAATCCAACCTCCGACTCCAGCGACCGTTTAACACTGTATTTACCGATAAACATTGTATTTATTAGTAAATATCATAATAATTTGAAAACTCAGCAATTGGTAAATACCGTATGTACCGGTAAATATCATAGGAATTTCTCTCGTGTTCCATCTTTTTTGGGAACATCGGCGTTCCCTACTTAGTAGCCGTCAGATTTGTATTACTTTTTCAAATTGATTTGATTTTTAACTAGATTTAATACATATCTGACGGCTGATAAGAAGAGAACACTGGTGTTCCCAAAAAAGAAAGAATACAAGAGAAATTTCTAATATCATATTTATCAGTAAATAACGTATTTACTCATAAATAACATATTCTTGAAAAATAAAAAAAAAATAGATTACATTGAGTGCATTTGGAATTATTTTTTAGTTATTTTTAAAAACGTTTTTGCACGTTTTTTGAGACACAAAAACGGTCTACAAATCGCCTTTGTTTAATAAAAGTTTGGAAAACTGAAACAAAAATAAAAAACAATGAGAATCATTTTTGTGAAGAAAGTAGATAAAGACTGAAAGTTATTTCTCTTTTCCGTTTTCAATTTCTAGTACTTATCAATAATGTTATATTAAATAATTAATTATTAATTACTAATTACTAATTACATTATATATTAATTAATAATTAATAAATAGATATACTCAATAACAAATAAATAGATAGTAATTTACTTAATTATTAATAAAATATTAATTTAATACTATTAAGTTTTTAATTTTATTAATAAAATAAAAAATATAGTAATTAATTATTTAGTTAAAGATTAATTGCCAAAAATTAATTATATAACATGTTAACCATAAAACACGTAATAATAAGTTATGAAATAAATAATTAATAATTAATATATCAATCATATATTATGTTAATTATAATCTATTAATTAGTAAATAGTTGGTAATGAAAAATAAATAGTCATTACTTAATTAATAATTAATATTAAATTATAATTATCAATATGTAATATACTAATCAATAATAATTAATCATTAATCATTAGTAATTAATCATTATAAAAGAATAATTACCAAAAATTGATCACATGATATATCAAATTGTAGATTATTAAATAAACATTAGTAATTAATTAATTAACTAATTAATTAATTATGTAACTAAAAGTTAATAATTTAAATAGTAAACGGAATATTAATAAATTATGTATATACTAATTATTTTTCTTAATAAACTAATTAATTAGTTCTAATCTAATAAATATGTGTAAATTACTAATATAGTAATTACTTATACTTAATTACAAATTACAAATTTTTAATTTTTTAACATATTAATCTATTATATATAGTTTAATTACTAATATAATCATTAATGATAATTTATCTATTATTATTATATTATTAATATATTAATTTTTTTCTTAAATAATTATCAATTATTAATTACTTAATATATTAATTTAAGATTATTAAATACATGTACTCAAAACAAACATAAATATAACTAAAAATGATTTTATTTTTTTATTATACTCAAATTAATTTTTTAAAAGACCACTTAACGTAATTTTAAAATTAATTTTAAAATAATTTTTAAAATAATCTCATTTTTATTTTTATATTAAAAATAAGACCATTTTAAAAATATTACGAAAAGAAAGAAAAAAAAAACAAACAGAAAACTCAAGGAATTCCACTGCCAACGCCAGATCTGGGAAATCCACAGCCATCCTTCCAACAGATTGGCGACGACAGAAGAGGAAGAACCGGAGAAGAAGATCGCCGACGGATTAGCAACAGATCGGCGACGATGGCAACGAGATCAACAACAGCGAGAAGCTCGGCCACGACGGCGACGAGAGAAGAGGGAGAACCGAAGACATTCGACGATCTGGAGACATCAATATCGACTGAGGACAGCTGATCCGCGAATCTTTACCGAAGAAAAAGGCCGGCCTAGTGAATCGAACAACTCGTCGGCGGCGTGACTCGACCGGAGAAGACAGGCTTGACTCGAATGGTTCGCGACGGGGACGAGCCATAGGACAGGCTGAGAGAGAGAGAGAGAGAAACGGGATCTGAAATCCGCCATTGTTCCAGATCGGGGACTCGACCGGCGGTGTGACTCGGGCGGCGGTGAGAGTCGGGAGAGTTTGGCCGGCGGGTGTGGGAGAAAGCGAGATCGAGAGAGTGATGGCGGGTTGAGTTTGAAGAAGGAAAAAACAAATGCAGCTCTAATTGGAAGGGTAGATTTGGAAAAGACTAATGTATTTTGGAATGAAAACTAATAATATACTATAATTTACTATCATTTAGAAAAATGCTGTTCCCTTTAAATATAGATATGAAATATGCTATATGATATGCATTTTCCCTTAATAGTTAATAGGGTGGTAGCTGCCAAGAAGTTCGTGGTTAGTAGAATTAATTCGCGTTTTAGGGAAAAAATGACGCAATTTCGGGTGGGCTTCTGAGATTTGGGCCTTGAAGAAGTGGCTAAGCTCATTTATTGAGTGAGCCCAGTAAGGATTTGTAAGGGACTTAACGAGTACCGTTTGGTGTGAATTTCTAAATTTAATATTACGGAAATAGTAAAAAATAGGCCAACATGAAAATGAAAAGCTTAAAATAGTATATAGACTAATTTTTAGTTATAGAAATTAATATGTCATAATTTGTCAAGTTATGGTTCATAACCAGATAAATTATGGATAAATTTGTTAAGTTATGGTTCATAACCAGATAAGTTATGAACAAAAACTGTGAATTATGGACAATAACTTGTCAAGTTATGATTCATAACCAGACAAGTTATGGACAAAAACAATAATTTGGCATATTTATTAACTTATGTAAACTATTGGCCTATTAATTTTAATTCATCTCAAGTCTCGGCCTATTTCCCTCTTTCTCCCTTAATATTAAGCGCCCGTTTGCTTCGCTGATTTAAGTTTTTAATTCGAATTAAGATGTGACTTTATGTGAAAATTTTTTACTGTAGCAAAAAAGTTAGATGTGACTGTTTCTGAGAGCTTTTTACTGTAACAAAATTTGAATTTTAAACTCGAATCGGTGAAATGAACGGGGTCTTAGGCACTCAACAGTTTATATACGCTGATATGAGTTTTTTAATTCGAATTAAGATGTGACTTTATGTGAAAATTTTTTACTGTAGCAAAAAAGTTAGATG